CAGGAGAGGTCTGCCACGCCATGTGGTCACCTCCGGGGCAGGCGGGGATCGAACTCATGAGGAAGTGGCTCTGGCCTCTCAGTACAGTGCTTCAACCCGCTGCGCCACCAGGGAGGGCCCAAATTTTATTTTTAAGTCAACCAAAAAGTATTCAAAAGTTATTTGTTGACAATAAAAGCACCATGTTCAATAAATCAAACGTCATATTTTGGGTAGAATTAAGTGCTATGGCTCTTAATTTTCGGCATTTGTGGTATTCATCCAGGGACAACCACACCTCTGGAGACATAATAGACATGTTTTCATTAAAGGAAAGAAACTTACCCATAGAAAGCTGTCTGTTCCGTGGTACCATAGAGAGATGGGGAGATCTGGATTTCTGGGTAACTGTTGCTGGAATCTCTCAGAGTGCCAAGACCCATGGCAGTGGTTACGAAGACTATGGGGAGGATAACCTGAGCAATGAAGCCTTTCCAGTTCCTGCGGGTGTGGTGGAACCTTTTAATAAGGATAGCCATTATCTTCTTCAGTAACAGCCCACAGCCATCCAACCTCTCTCCTCTTGTCAGGATTTTGTCTGGTTAAGAAAAAGAGAGTAGGTATGGTTCTGGAAAGATCTTGATAGATCAAGTAATAAAGTAACATCAACAACTGTATGACATCATATGATAGCAAAAACTATATTTTAGAAATTTAGATTTGAGGTTCAGCTCTAGGCAAGACTTTAGTCTGAATCTGTTCATTAGGAAAATTTGTTCTTTATATGAGAAAAAACAGTCTCATAGAATTGTAGGTACTTGAATATTGTAAATCACTGTATGCAAAACGCAACAACATGAATGGAACTGGAGGGGTTCAGGTTATGTGAAATAAGTCAGAAAGAAAAGACAAACACTACATGCTTTAACTTATATGTTAACTATATAAAACAAAACAAAGGTCAGACAAAGCCAAACCAAAGCAAACCTAGAAATATGACCATGGAATTGAAGCTACAAGAGGAGGATGGAAGGTCACACACAACAGGGAGGGGGCACAGTGGACCAAGGCAGTGCACTAGGGTGATTTGGCAGTGGGCGTGGTGTGGAGACATGCATCTGAGGACGCGTGATCCTACGCCTCTGAATCACTACTGTGTTGTCACTGGTTTTACATCAATGAAAAAAAAAAAAAGGCTAGATACTTAGAATTTTATAAATGAATTCTAACTCAATCTCCAAAGTCTCTATATAGACTCAGCATGTGTTATTAATTCCAGTACTCAAGGGATAGTTTCTATCGAGAGTTGGCTTCAAGTAAGTAAAACAGAAATCAAATTATCAGTCTACTATAATAAGAACTCATTCCTATTGTAGGTAACTTAGTGATTATAAGACCAATAGGCTTATTCAGAGGTGACATACAATAAATTCACTTTAAATGTTCAAAAAGGAAAATACTTTCCTCCAGAGTATAATTCTAATTCAAACACTTATTCATTACATCCTCTTTAGAAATCTGGGCTGATTATAAAGCATTTCAAAACTCTATTTTTACCACCAGAATCACAAAAAAGAACTCACTGGGAAAATGTCTACCCACATACCACCCCTCCCCTGAACTGCATTTCAGGTGCTGAGAGAAATTCCATGGCTTCTGGGAGTAAGAGAAGCCGAGAAGCCCATAAACTATTGTTTCCTCAGTTGAGTTCTTACAATGGATCGTTTCAGCAGCCCCTTAAAAGCAGTTTCAAATACAACATTCTCTCTGAAGACCTGCCACCCCGCACTCCTTTAACAGGATGAGATGACAGTATTCATCAACGATGTGTATATTTTTAATTCTCCATCACAAAATTATGCAGCACAAAAATCATGATCTTCATTTAGCTGATAAGGAAAAATACAAAGCTGCTTAATTTAAAATGAATTCCAATTAAACAGTGAGCAAGTTTAAATGCAAGCTCATATCTCTGCAAAGGGGAATTGAAGAAGAAGCAGAATATTTTAAGTTAATTAGTATGCTTTTCTGTTTCTTCAGAAATTACATGTGGGTGACTTACAGGTGTATCAACTGAAGTAAATGTGCTTTCTAAAAGATAACGTCAGGGAGAGGAATATTCTCAATGAAGAATAGCTTCAAATTAGGAGACAAATGCAGAGGTTGACTACTTTCTAATCTAAGTCCTCAATTCCCTGGACTCAACACTTCTTTTCCCCAAAAGATGAAAAATGAAGAATATGGTAGAAGACAAATGAAACGCAAGTTCTAGAATTATGCAAACATCAGAGGTGATCTTTTTCCGAGTTTTAGAGAGGCACATGTAAAAGTTCTGTTCCTAGGGCTATTTTCCCAATTAAGCAAACTTTAGTGATGACTAAAGCATAATTTATATGATATTTTAATATATATGCTTCCTTAAGTAGTGTTCCAAAGACATAAACTGCCAGAAAATGAGAGGAGAAGTGTTATTTTCAAAGGTCTGTTTTTAATCAAAAAGGTAAACTTATGCTATTCGTAGCAACCTGGATGATGTTGGAAGGGTTTCTGCTAGTGAAAAAGGCCAGAAGGTGAAGATATATATATACATGTAATATATATTGAGTGGGTTCACTCATGGGAGAAATACAGGGGAACTGAGCATGGGGTCAGAAAAAAAAAGACAAAGCTAGTAGGCAAACTATAAATCTGAGACACACAGCATGGGACGGGCAAAGTGAGGGGTCAAAGTGGGAGGGAGCAGCAGAAGAGACTATGGTGAGAGTTCACGGATGATGTGCTGGTGGGACTTTTATGGGGAGTACACCTGAGGGGATCAACCGAACATTGTAGAAAATTAACAATGACATAAACAAACCCCAAAAGAGTGCTATTCCTCAAAGTCATGCCAGGAAACATGATTTTTCAAACAAGTCTTGTGTGAATAACTGGCGGGGCAGCTATTATTATGGGTTTTTAACTATCAAGTTCTACTTCATCACTGTAGAGACCTTCCCCTGAGAGCATTTTCTCAGAGCCAAAATCTGTTCAGCACCTGATTCCTTCAGCATTATAAGATTAGACATGTCTACCAGTGAGGTCCCATAAAGAGTGATGTTTTAAAGGAAAAAAAAAAATGATGTCTATTCCCTCCACTTGAACATGTCTAATAACAGAGGAAACTCTTGTGAAAGGTTAACTTTAGCCAGGACTGGACAGTACCAGTTACTAGGAGCATTTGATCTTTTGAACACAAATCTGAAATTTGGAAGATGGCTTCCAAATTTGTGACCACTATTTTGTCAAGAAAGCTCTTACTTCTTTAAATACTTTTCAAATAGAAAATTTGACTTAGCTTAATAAATATTTTGCATATAAATAAAAGCAAGTATATACTTATTTAGTCTTTTTGAATTTAGAAGTACAGTTTAAAGTTAAATAAAATAAATAAAAAATCTGTTTTGCTCATTTATGTCACTTATTAGAATTAAACCAAACATCCCCATTAGATTTTACCATCTCTGTCTGTGAAGTTGCTGCTGCTCACAGATAAATCATCAGGAGTTGAGATGCCATTGGTACTGGAATTTCCAATTTTCCTTTGTGTTAAGTGCTCAAGACTCATATCACTACTTTTTTGTGATTCTTTAGTCAAGTTCAGAAAGACCTAAAAAAGAGAAACCAGAGCACTTCATCAGCATAGAAAAACACATGTCTTTCTTAGTGACTGAGCTCAACTTGAACTTTTATCGCCTTTATTGAGACAAGTGTGACTTTAAGTGAAAATTTTTGAGATTGTTTTTAGTGAATATATTTGGAGAGATGGTTGTTCTCAGAACTCAGTCTTACATAAGCATGGTATTGAGATACTTTTTAAGATTTCCTGAAGCATTTATTTAAAAATAGCTCTTGCTTAAGACTCTACTAGTTTCTCCTAAGGGAACAACAAGTTCCTATCAGCTGTAAGAAAACAGGAAATGCCTAAGCATACCTCTTCCACTGTGGTGTCTGAAATGCCATAGCAACCAATGTTGAGGTCGCCCATGCCAGTGTCCAGTGCTCTGAGGAGGGACAGGTAGGCTCCTGAGACCTTGGTGCTAAATGGAGGAAGCACATAAACAAGCTCTCCCCCGATGTCCTCTTTAAGGTAGGCCTCTGGGAGGTGTGACCGGATCATTGCTGTCACAGCTGTGGTGTCACAGATCACACTTGCATTTAGATTTGGACTCTAAAGACAAAAACAGAAGTTAAGCTCCCCTCCCACAACACGGCAATGCCCAATCAGAAGCAGTAAGTCCATTTTTGTCACTGCACACCTTTGTTAGATCCTCCATCAATGCTCCATTGCCCCCCTGTCCTTAAGGGGTCCCCACAGTTGTCTATAAGTAGTTATTGTTCTTCTGGCTCTATTCTCCCACCCCACGCTGTCGCTTCCACAGTCTCATTTCTATCAGTTTCCCTCTCACTTATCTACCCTAGGCATAACAGTCTTTTTGTTGCTAGACTTCTGCAGGTCCAGTCACCCCCTTCTCAGGACCTTTGCAATCGAGGAACTTTCTCTCCCGGCTCCAACTCTTGACGCAGCTAACATCTTCTCAGAGACCCCTTCTCTTCTATTTCCTTACTTATAATAGCACCAGCTAGCATTTGCGCCCCCCTCCCTCTGCTTTATTTTTATTAATAGCATTTATCATCTGCTTGAATATTACATAATTCACTTGGCCACTACATCATCTAACTCTCTACACTCCATCAGAATAAAAACTCCACAAGGGCAGAGATTTTAACATCACCAGGTACTGCTGTCATGCCAGTGTTTGGGACAAGGCCTCGGACATTGCAGCAGCACCTGGTAATGCTAAAAGCATAAGACACATCTAATACAGATGTTTTTGAATGTGTCAGTGAATACAACAATAAACTATGTACTTTATATTTCAGAAATCCCATCAGGATGGTCAGCTATAAAATAAATGATAGTAGTCAAAACCTGCCTAATAGCATACACATCGTGCAAAGTTTTGATAAATCACATGCTGTGTTAGGTTGCTCAGAGGTTCTTTAGTCAGCATTTTTGTTCTTGAAAGATATAAAAGCATCTTTGTTCTGAGTCAGTCTCCACTTAATGAGCAGTGATCAGAAAGTGGACACATGACACATATTCTCCTCATTTGCTTTTGAGACAGCAGAGAGTATGGTAGCAGGCCAAAGCATTAGGCCAATTTACGAACCAATCTTTCATCAGTAGCCCCAGGAAATATGTCATTTTACCCAGCACATTGGTATCTAGACTAACAGTATCAGCATCACCTGACCTTGTCAGAATGAGGAAAAATGGAGACACCCCTTTCCAGATTGGCTGAATTAGAAACTCCTGGAGTGGGGGCCAAACTGCTGACTTTAACCAAGACGTCCAGGTGTCACGACGCTTGTGACATTTGAGAAACACAAACGTAGCATATGAATAATGAATGTTAGCAGTGAATAAAGTCGGAGAAAGTCTTCCTTTGTTTCATCTGAAAATGATGCCATCACCCTCTGGTCAGGCAGAGCTCCTCCCCACCAACCTTCTTCTTGGTGAGCGTCAGGTGATACCCATCCCCAAAGGCTTCCTTGAGGTAGAAGGGCGACCCGCAGCAGCGCAGCCCACCCTGCTCCAGGAAGGCGATGCGGTCACTCAGCACTTCCGCCTCATCCAAGTGGTGCGTGGACAGAATGATTGTTCTGGCTTGAAGAGACAGAAAGAACAACGAAAAGCGAAACATGAAGATACAGTTCCCAAGACACGGTGGGGGAGCCCGAGTCAGTCCTGTGATGTGTGAGGAGAGTTTCGTGCTACGAGCCAGCAGAACCGGCCGGGAGGGGCTTCCAAGACAGCAGAGAAATTCAAAAGGGAGATTTCTCAGTATCAGGGTGTTGTGTACCAAGTATTAGGGTGCTATGTATTCTTTTGCTAGTACGGGCAGCAAGTGAGCATTTATTATACCGCGCGTCCATTATTTACAGAGTGGGTTCAGGGGATGTCTCCCAATCTATTAGTAAGCTCAACTAACTTCTCTTTCTCTTTCCCCCCTTTCTTCACTATGAAAAAGCAGTAATTTTAAAGACCTTTTGAATATTCCTCTCTGATTAATCCACTCTACTCTGATTGCTCCTTTACTTCACATCCTGTTAGTACTTATTTAGTCTGTTTTCAGTTTATTTTCACTTGTGTATGTTTGGTATCTCTAATTAGATTCTAAACTCCTCTAGGCAGAATTTGGAACTTCTACTAGATGCAACTCCATTCTGTTTGCATGCTCCTCAAAAAGGCTAGCTAAAGCTCAACTCACAGCCGGCATTCCATAGATATTAACTAGTTGACCCAGGAATTCAGCTGGGAGAAGACTTAGGAGAAGGAAGAGCTCATTTAAGACTTCTAATAGCGATCATAAAGAAAAACTTCATCTTGCTGCTGTGCATCCCAGAGGACAAAATTATGGCTGTTGGTTGGAGAGGTTTTAAGAAAATATTCCTACCAGTTTTGTTCTTGGAGATAACATCCCATATACTTCGGCGAGAACATGGGTCAACTCCAGTGGATGGTTCGTCCAATATCACCACCCTTGACCCTCCGATGAGAGCTATAGATATAGATAACTTCCTCTTCATTCCTCCTGACAATGTCCCAACTCTCTTATGACGATGGTTGTACAGTCCAGTGTCATTCAGTGTCCTTCCAGAATAAGGTAAGGTGGTTATTTTTTACAGATAGAATATTTGAATATTGTGAAAATACAATAAGCGCCCTAAGTAACAGGTGTTTATGAGCAACTATTGTACATGATCAGCAAGGTACAATAAACTATTGAGAATTAATGATACAGTTTTCCATTATTTATCATCTAGTTGGAACTACATACGGAATGCTCAGGAAACAACTCAAGAGAATATCTGGATCATTTTCTTATTAAGTTATTGGACAAATATTTGTGGAATGTCTACCTGTTCTGTGCTAAATCATGCCCTAGGTGCTACAGAACAGCAGTGAGCAGATAATGTTCCCACTCACAGGAGACTGTGCGTGTATGTACACTCATACAGAGAATGCATGGGAAATCCAGTTGATAAACATATTCTTAAGTGAGTTTATAACATACTGGATGGTGAAAAGTGCAACAAAAATCAAGGAAAACAGGGTGCCTGAGTTGAAGAGTACCTATAACTGGCTATTTTAGATATTTACTTTATTTATGGGAACCCCTCAAAGAAGGCGACATTTGAGGGAAGATGAGAAGAGTGGGCATAAGTCATGTGGCTGTTGGGGGAGGTTGTTCTAAACAGAGGGAGCAGTGAGGCCTGAGGCTGGAGTCACTGGGCTAATGTGCCCAGAGCAGCAAGAATGAGCAGGAGAGTCCTGAAAAATGAATCGAAAGTGAGATGGGGGTGCTGCTTAGGTAGGACCCTGTAGACCTTAATAAGGACTTTGCACGTTTCACCCTGCATGTGGCGGAAGCTACTGCTGAATTTGAACCCAGGGCTGACATGGGTATGATGTAAGGTGCAAAAGATCACCTTGGCTGCTTTTGAAGAGTAGACTGTGTAAGAAAGAGTAGATGTATATTTATGGAATGAGAAGCAGCAGCTTTGGGGTAACATGGGAGTCAGCAATGAAGAGAGTTAAACAATTCTAGTTTCAGAACTGACTGGGGAGGTAGTGTCATTAAATATATAGAATAGTGGAGAAGAATTGGTTTGTGGTCAAACACTTCCTATTGGTCTTATCACCGCAGCCTGGCTCCTAGTGGAGAGGAATTACTGGCACATGTTTCTGTCACAACTGACCTTTTCACTTCTTCATGCAGCTGCTTTTTAGTCCAGTGGGGCACTTTGATGGAGCCGTACAAGAGAAGGTGCTCTTTGGTGGTGAGGTAGCTGAACAGCACGTCATGTTGCATGCAGACCCCCATGTTCTTGCGCACGGTGTTTAGGTCTGTCTTGATATCTTTTCCATAAACATAAATGGTGCCTGCTGAGGCCCCAAACAGCCCAGTCAACATGGAACTGGAAAAGAAGAAATGATTAATGAAAGTATAAACTAAGTCTTTGAGCTAGATATTAGGCCAAGATATAATTTTGTCATGCAAAAAAAAAGTGTTGTATCTCCTCCAGGGAGGTCAAGCTATAAAATAAAATGGTATGAAATAGGAATAAAAATGATTTTTAAGTTTTTAATAAGTTAGAATGTTATATAAACACCTCATAATGATGAGAATGGTGGTGATGGCATAATAACAACAGAAATGTTGGGTGTTTTAATTGCAAGCATGCTCTGTCCTTGAGTCAACTCCTGCACTTTCCTAGCATCAGATGGTATCTATAGGCTGTTAAGTCTCAGCTTTATATATCTGTAGCCCTCATGCTCAGTTCTGGTCTTGCTCCATACATCCAGAGGACAAAACCATGTCTCAATGAGATGTCCTGCAGGCTCCTCTAACTCAACATGTTTAAATCTGCTACAGGGCAGGGGAAGAGAGGGACACCCTGAAGCCCCAAAAACCTGCCTGCTCTTCCTAGGGACCACCCTGTTACAAAACTGATCTCATGGATTATGTTCTCAAGCCTGTGTCCTTCAATCACTTTTACCTCCTTCAGCACATGGTAAATCCCTGTATTGGCAGCACAAGCCCGGAATCCAATTATTTTTGCCTCCTTTCCTACCTCAGTCTCTGAACTCTGTCCATGACTCTCTATTTTCCCAACCACCACCACAGGACACAGTACCATCACTATTTGCCTGCTGACTACTGTGGGCTCCCAATTACTTCTTCATACTCTGGCCACCCAGAGTCCCTATCTCCACACTGTGACCAGAATATTCTTGCTGAGATAATCCTTTCTCAGCTTTCCGAAGGTTAGTAAACTGAGAAATATTTAACATCTATTTCCGTTAGGACAATGTATGTTCCAGGGAATTGACCATTTTTTCCTCACCTCTTTATCTCACTAACTAGTGTTTTGTATATAACAGTCCTTCAAGGAAAACTAGTGGTTTAAACAGGGCATCAATACAATATGCAATTCTTTCCACGGAAACACATTGACATAAAAATATTATACTTCATTCTCTATGTTCAGAAGAATAAAAATTAAGGGCATTCTCAGCTCAATCACCACCTCTTTAAAGCCTTTTCTATCCCTTTTCTTCATTAGCTGTTCATTGCCTACTAGAAATCTTGCCTTTGAAGCATATAGTCTCAGTAGAAAGCCAGCTCTGAATTTAAACAGGCCATAAAAATGAGAGTGCTTGCTTGTCCACTCACTTCATGACCTTCCTTTGTCCCTTTTATTTACCAAATTTATTTAATTTGAATATGTTTGGGCAGCTGCTGAGTTTACTATGATGATACTAAATTATGCTATCCAGCAATTTACACTTTCAAATAAGGGCTCAAGCACCAAGAGAATTTTAGAGCTAGCTCCAGCTAGCTCCTAGCTCCTAGTTGAAGAGTACTGGAGGTGAAAACACACGCACATACACACACACACATTCACACACAGAGAAGAATGACATTTTAAACATATTCGAATTTCTTGCCCATTTGGGTATAGGAAAATGTTGCATAAGTGAAGAGTGAAAAAAACAGCCTATATAGTACTCCTGACCTTTCTGATCTATATTTAATAGCTGCTGATTCTTTTATTATTATTTTTTTTATGAACCAAGACAAGAGTTCTCCATGATGGAGCATCTGGGACTGAGTGTCTTTTTACTAGGGTTTGTAAATTCAAACTTACGCAGGCTAGAGTCAGGCTAGAAATGCAAATAATTAAAACAGATCAAGCATGTGAGGCACTACAGATTGATGGAGACCAGAGATGAACCAGAATGCAGACACCCTTTTAAAGAGAACCAATTTTCCCTACTGAAAAGTGTGAACTCAGTGTTACTAGTAATTCCTGTTATCTAAGAGATGCTAAGAATATTTTTAATAGAGAATGCACCCAGTTAGAAATATTTGCACTGAATTAAAAAAATACTTCAAGAAATGTTGAACAGACCAACATAGGCAGACCAAAGAAACCTTATCTGTGGGCTAATCTGACCTTTGAGTCCACATTTTAGGACATCTAAGTTAGAACTTCATTCTACAGCACACAAGTTGGTCTTCCTTAATCCACACAGATATGTAATAACTTCGTTATTTTTTTATGAGAAAGGTGAGGAAATATTAGCTAATTTCTTCTGTGATGATAAATGTTGAAGAATAACATACATGGTAGTAGTTTTCCCAGCGCCATTGGGTCCCAGCAATGAAGTAATATGGCCTTCATAGAAATTTAGATTCAGGTTATCCACGGCAATTTTTGAGCCATAGATCTTTGTGACCCCATGTAAGGCCACCCCAACTGTGAGATCTTTAGGTTCAGGTTCAATGTTGGAGGGGAACATGTAGTCAGGACCTGGAAACGAAATCAAGAACTGTAAGCTCATAAAAAGAGAACGTTTAGTTAATGTTAGACTTTTCCTCAATTAAAAGTTGGAGATTTAAAAAACATAAAAAAATAAATAAAATCCAGGAACAAAAAAATCTATTAAGGGATAAATTCATATATGGAATATAAAGAAACAAAATAAAGGAACAAGGAACAGACAAAACTAAGCCAAAACAAATGCTAGAAATCTGACTGTCGAACGGGGCTATCAGAGGTTGGCGGTGGGAAATGGGAAAAAAGGAGGCAGGGGACCAGCTGCTGTGGAGCAGGATTCTGGGGGTCTTGATAGTGGGAGTGGTATGTTAACATCCATCTGAAGAGGTGTGAAGTTGTACCTCTGAATCATATACAATGTTGTGAACCAAAATCACCTCAGTGGACAAATAAAAAAATCCCTTAAATAAAAATTAGAATGGGAAACCATGTTCTCTAAGGTTTATGTGTTCTTTTTTTTTGTAGAAAAAGTAGTCTCAGAACACAGTTATCATAATTATGAAATACTTCTAAGAAGATCACAACCATTCAAACACAGATCAAAAGCCTTTGTACTCCAACTGTTGTGATTGTGACCCAGTTAGGGAATACATGTCCATAGGTGTGATATTCTGGTGGTGAGCATGGTTCAGCTGCTTGGTTTATAGAATCCTGTTTATTAATTACTTTCTATGTGACCTTCAGGCATGACCAATGGACCACTAGTGTGGTTGTCTGCATAAAGTGGACACCACTTATCCTACGAATCAATAAGACATGAACTTCTAAGTTCATCACTATTGATGATGGGTTATGATAAATTATCTATACTTGTTAATTGGTTACTTCTCATGACTAGTGACAGATGGCTGGAGTTAAGGGTGCAGACAGTGGCCAAGGAACAAAATTTTTCTCTGCCTGACTCTAACTGGACCACAAAGGGAACTGCAATCTTGGCCTAATTAGCACCATATGTTAGCCAACTAAGCTAATGAGCCCAGAAAAAGCCACAATTTAATCTCCATAAGAGTCCAAACACATATGTGTAGACATACTCATCCATGACTAAAAGGATGCTAATTTTACCATTTAGAAAAACATAATTAACATCACTAGTCATGTAAATTTTATATCACTTCTCACAATAAAGCTAGTTGTTGACCTACTTGTCTTACTGGCAGATGGGTTGGTGTTCTGCATCATGATGTTAGTAAACACTAGGCCATTGATTTTCTCTTGCTTCACCTCTGCACATCCCAATCTCTCCTTCCAGTAGGAAGGAAGGATTGGAAAATACCATGGAGCTGCCATGCCATATGTTCCTGCAATAAAAATAATTATGAACTCATTATTAACATTAAGTACCAGAAGCTAAATAATCACATGGTATATATTGTTCAGGAAGTACTTCCATTTTCTGGTGCTCTCTAAAATTAAAAGTAGTCTCAGTTTCCAAGTAAAAAAGATAATCTTTTATTCTTGTTTCTGACAGCTTCATTAAGTAATAATTATATAGTATAAAGTTTAGACATTGTTTATTAGATGATTTTTCATAAAAATATAATATTGTACAACCATCAGTGTTATCCAGGCATTAAAACATTTCTGTAATTTCAAAATGTTTCCTTACACCCTCTTGCAAATAATTCTTGTCCCTCCTATGTTTCAGGCAATCACTGATCTGCTTTTTATCTCTAGATATTTTTCTGTCATTGATATTTTATATAAATAGATTAATATACCATTATTCATTTACAGTATTAGAAAAACAAATACAAATAAAACTTAATGGAAAAACTCCTGAGCATATTAGAAGTGACAACCACTTAAGATCTAAGCAAGTACCCAGGTAGTTTTTTCCCACTGGAATCTGGAAAATTCTACTTCAAATTAGGAGAAGGTATTTTGCTTTAGGATATTTCATACTCCCATCTCAGAAAGATTGGGTTCCATGCTTCTTAATTCACTCCTTCCTTTGAGAAGGAACTCAACAATGCATTAACACACCCTGCAAAAATCTGGCTAGTTTTGTGATTTAAGTGCTTCCTAGTTGAAGATTATATATGAGAAATAAAATATTAGGAAATATGTATTATCTGATTTTTAATGACAACAACCATCAAAACTTTGTATCTGTAGGAAGAAAGTTCATACCTGGGAAAACATTCCTGACATACCAAGCGATAAGGAAATAAATGAAAGAATCAGCCAGAATGAGACAGCACAGCCAGCCAAATGAGGTGGTATCATCTAGAACTGGGGAACTGTACATATTTTCCCACTGAAGACCTAAGAATTAAACGCATAAATTTATTTTTTGTAGACCATATTGAAGTTGCAAAAAGTAAAATAGTCTTAAAGAAAGTGGCCTACCCACGCCTTGTTCCTCGTATCGTGCAATATACTGACTTGCATAACTGAATGCTGTTGGAGAGAGCAAACTCTGTGAAGAAAGCAAACAGTGTCAGTGGTTGTAGACTCTCATATATCACCAGAGAGATCTTAACATATTTAGAACTTTGGTGACATCTAGATAAAATAGACACTAGTTCTGTTTATATAGATGTTCCATATAATTGTATCACAACACTGAAAGAAGAGAAGAGGGAAAACAGAAGACAAAAGCAGGAAAGTTGTAACTTGGAAAAGATTTGTCAAAGGCCAAAATATATAGCTCAACATCAAATGTAGCACAAGTTATAAAATAGGTATTTCCAACTTAATGCAGTGTCAAGGCTAAAGGGAAACTTTAGGAGCCAGAAGATGTTACTGCTTCATAAACTGATTTCAATTAATAGAAGTATTATGAAGGAAAAGATACTAAAATATTAATTAGTTGATTTTATAAAACAACAAATTAAAATTTTTATTAAAAACCAACATTGTTTTCATGTTAGATGAAAGTTATTTCTCCCTTTATATACTGTGAACAGCAGTTTTATTATGAATATTCATCAATGATAAGATCTGCAGCTTTCTAAATTTTACAGTCAGTAATCTTAATGTTTTCATTAAAATCCTTAAATTAATTTAATACTTTTGAATTGAAAAGGCAGAAAGGAATTCAAACTTGATTATCTGTTGCCAGTACATGTCTTAATATCCGTACATTATATTGTATGTCATTAATGCTGTGATAATTCTCATACATGAGAATAATTCCAGCAGTGGAGGTGCTATGACTTTACAGAATTGCACAAGAGAGAAGTCACATTTTTGGCAATCTTTAAAATGTAATATTCTTATTTTAGTTGTTCATTCTTCAGGAACATTTTTAACAGCATCAAATATTATGGCTTTAGAAGCTGGTGGGGGTTTTTCTGTTCACAGTGTTATGATTGGTTGATCTACAATGATATTAAAAAAATCATTAGGACAGTTCAGCTGATGTCATTATCACTGAACTTAGGAATTTATAAAAATTTACTTTCAGTTTAAGTGTCTCAATAATAATACTTAAAAGGATCTAATGTTCTCATTCACTGACTATTGTCTGGGATTGCTGACTCACCATGAATACTTTTATTACATAGCTCAGTTCATCCTCAACTGTAACCAAGACAATAAATGGGAAGAAGGCAATGATATAGATGAGACTTCCAATCAGAGCTGCAATGTTGGTGTTGTTGAAGAAGACACTGATAAGATAACTCATGGCAATCACTGAGAAGCTGTAGTCCGAAAAATACAGGAACAAAATGAACCCATTTGTTTTAGGAAGAATGTTGCCAAATTTGAGTATAATGATCAGGATGATAATGGTAACTAGTAAAAATCCAACACTCTCTATGAGCCAGGCAAAAAAGTGACTGCAGGAATTCACTCCCATCATCTTCATGTACTGTAAAAAGGGAAAAAAAAAAGTGTCAGTAGCTTCAATAGATATGCTTTCAAATAATTACTCCTGTACCATGACAAAATGTCCAGGAGGCTCTCCCCACACAAAGAGGGAGGCATTTTGATGATTTGGGTAAGACAGGTCCACATCCATGCTTGCTTTATGAAGTGAGTATGTCCATTAAGAACAGGCTGCATGTTCCTAGAATGCCCTGCTATAGTAAATGTTTGGGAGAGTAAGGCTCTTCCCGTTTTTTTGGAATTCCATTTCACAATTTGTATTTAACTAGTACCTCCAGATTAAACTAATTTAGAATAGATCATCCAAATTTATGGTTTTCCTTGAAGAATTTTACAACATAAATTTGACATTTGTATAGGAAAGGATATTTTAAGCTGGTAAACACACACACACACACACACACACACACAAAACATGATCTATTTCAAATTCAATGTAGGTACTGACATAATAAAACTACATTAAAAAAAAAAACTAAACATTAATGAACAGCACAATCAGCATCTATGTTCCTGGGAGAAACAAAGCAGACCCAGTTCCTAAGAATTTAAATCATGGAAACTTTAAAGGGAGACTGTCTGTCTTTTGCCAGTTTCTTTATCCTTGAAATCACTGGCAGGCTTGGTCAGTTTTGCTGTCTTAAAAGTTTTGTTTCTTAAAAGACATTTATACACTCAAAATGAACTCATGTATCTTAGATAATCTATACCTCTCACAATTGTTATTCTTTAATAACTCAGTGATCTCCCTAGAGGTCAAGGTATTCCACTAAGGCAGACAAAAGATGGACCAATAGAATGGCTGATGTGCTAATGCAAAAACGATTTTCAGAGACTGGACACCCCCTTGACTTAGGGTATTTTGAATATGGCACTACTGTATACAGGGGGACCTAGATATCCTGGTTTCTACTTTTCACAATTCATGTCTACTTTAATCTTGCCAAGACAATATTCCATTAAAAAAAAAAAAAGAAAGAAATGCTTCATTGAACAGCTTTATAATACAGTATTTCTTTTAAGATCAAGGATTTTTCAATGTGTCTCCATCTTATCGAGATTGTTTAAAAAATAGTGATTGCACTGAATCTTTTTGCTTTACAGGCAAAATAGTGAATTTTACTTTGTGCTTTTGTAATTTATCACATTTTGATAACGCTGCTGCTCCTGTGTTACCATGGAAACAGCTACCTGACTGCCAACAGTCTAGGCTATGGGCCTTAAGCTAATCACTGCTGAGAAAAAGCCTATGACTTTTTCTCTTAACTTTGCCCTCTTTCTACCCTCTTCTCTCTTTCCTGCTTTTCTCCTCCCACACCCTGTTGCCCTTTGCAGTAAAGGCTCAACCTATATTTCCATAGGAGTGGAAGTGTGGGTCAGAATAAGAAACTCAGCATGTAGTGAAGACTCAGCATGGAGGCTCTCCTCTTCCTCCATTTGCTATGTATCATTCATGGAAAGTAAAATTACATTTTGATGTGAAAAGAGACCTCCCAGATCTTATTTTAGCAGTTCCTTCCCTACAGCTCAGCCCATTTGAGAAAATTACTGTCATATTTGAATGACTGCCTTTCATAGACACTCACCTTTTCAAATATGATCAGGAGATGTTAGTTCTTTATTTCCCTTCCCTACTATTTGTATTTTGAAGCTGTTTCTGGGTTTGTGTTTGTTGACTACAATTAGATGGGAAGATATGGAATCTCTCTGCTGATATGCACCACCAAATTTCATGTGACCAATAAGGAAAATATTTTCCCAATATTGATACAGGTCATTGAAAGACATGACAATATACTTCACAAGGTTGATGTCACATATTTAGTACTATCAAGGGCATAAAATAGAGTTGGTTGCATGTGTTTAAACGTGTTTTCCTTCCCTGACAATTGATAACTACAAAAGAAAAGAGAAAATGGAAAATGAGAATTTTCCATTCACAGCCTTGTTAAAAGATAAGTTGGAAATCTTGAAGACCTGGACTAAAGGTGTTTATCATTGTAACTTTGAACTTTTAAAACTCAAGGTCATATTCTTACTTCCAACTACTGGTAAAAGTTGGAGACTGAGCGTTGCATTTTATCAAAACTGATCAGGTTGGATGCTTCCAGAAATGTTCACTACTTAATATTCTAGCATGAAACATCAGTGTTAAACTTTAGGATTTTATGCTAGGAAGAGAACAGCTGCTATTCATAAAGAGAAAGAGCAAAAGTAGCATGCTAGTCATCTATAAATTAACCAGATGCACTGCCAACTTTGTTACAATAAACAAGACCAAACTTGTTGATGGAGCAGGGCCCACAGAGAATGGCTTGCTATGCTTTCTTGGATGTTGTTAGTTTCTCTTCAAAGTGACAGATGTCAGGTGCCAACTATGTAATCAGAGTCACTTGTTTCAAACCTCCCAAACCTGCTGGAGCAATTCATCAATATGTGATAACCTGTTGCTTAAGGAAATCCCTCTGTACAATGGTCTGCCTAATTTATGCAAAAAAAAGTGATGAAAAAAAGATGTTCTATAAGATTCTGGCTAAACATGTTGTTACTCTAAAGAGAAGTTTATGCACAGGGATTGACATTAATACTATCAGAAAAAACATAAATATTCATATATTTACTTGTCAGTGATGTCGTCCATCAATTCAACAAGTGTCAAGCACTAACTCATATGGAACAATAACATTTTCTACCTCAATTTTTAAAATTCTCCCACAATAGGTATTTATATAAGTTTCGTGACTATCATTTGAAATGCTCTACTTCCCTTGAGTGGGATGAATATGCATGTATAGAATACATAAAAGCCTGTCAAAAGTGAAATACCAAAGGATGACATCTTTGCAGTTCACAGATATTTCATGTTATGTCTGAACTGAGAAAGTACTCCATTTTTTGTCTCTAAACGCAAGTCCTGAAAACCCCATATATAACTTGTATTAGATCAAATAGACCAAGACAGCAACCAAGAAAATGAAATCATTCTCCTTTCTCCAATGAAATCAACTTCTGTATGACATAATATTTTAATCATTAAAACCAAGGAATGCAGAACAAAACCCAATTGAAATGCACTTTTAAACTTAATTTCATAAATAAATATAGAACATTAATATTTGTGCTAGTTTATTTACCATGTTACAGGAGTTCACTGTGGTCATACCATAACAAGGCCAAAGATTAATGGTTTCATTGAAATAGCAACTAATTTGCAATATGTATACACACACATATATATTTTCATTTTTGCTTTTTTGGTGTAATTGGAATAAGGAAGTAGGAAATGGGCAGCTTTTTTAAAAAGATTTATGCATACTGAACTGGGGTATAAGCCAGAGTGGTGGGGGATGAGAGGATTCACCAGAGACAGTGGGGAGCAGAACAGGTAGATGGACTGAAATACACTGCTGAAGGGAGCAGTGGGCAGGTCAGGAGAGGTCTGCTACAGCATGTGGGTCCCCTTCCTGGCTGGGGATTGAACTCATGCTGCAGTGGCTGTGATAGCTTCATTGTGCTGTGCTTCAACCCATTGCACTACCAGGGAGGGCCCATAAATGGGCAGCTTTTAACCTTACTGAATATTAAGATGATGATACAAGAAAGGATTATCCACCATGAATGTTCTAAAGCCCTTAAGAGTCTATGTTAACTAAAATAAAATGGCAAGAGGTACGGTAGTAGTGATACGAAAACACTGAGTTTTGGACACTTGAGTTGTAGATGTAGATTTCCCATTAACTTGCTCCACAGTTTTCATCAAGTCACTTGTCAGGCTCAGGTTTTTTTATTGTTAAAAAGGAGGAGGTTTTAAGAGTACTCCTTTTTATCTAAATACCTGGAGTCCCTCTCCTTCCTTCAGCTTTCATCATCCTGGAAATGTTTCTCTGGAATTTCATTGGTACCACATATTCTATCTATTTTAAAATAGGGTCCCACAATATATTTATATAAAAGAATACTATCCATCAATAAAAAATAATTAACCAGAAAACTAATGACACACATGAATACGTAAATCATTATGCTGAATAGAGATCTTACACAAAGCATTCTTACCATATGGCTACAGGCATGAAATTCTAGAACAGGCAAGTCTGATCTATGATGAAGTAAAAACATCAGAACAGGACCCTCCCTGCTGGTGCAGTGGGTTAAAGCACAGCACTGTGAAGTTTGTTACAGCCGCTTTAGCGGCCAGGAAGGTGACTGATAGTGCACAGCAGACCTCTCCTGACCCATCCACTGCTCCCCTCAGCAGCGTACTTTGTCAGTCGGCCTGTTCTGCTCCCCACTCTGTCTCGGGTGAATCCTCTCTCTGCCCTTGCACCTCTGATCTGTACCCCAGTTCTGTATGCACAAATAAATAAATCTTACAAACAAACAAAAAACATCAGGACAACGCTTATCAATGGGAGAATGGGCAAGGATGGGCCAGGCTGGGCATGAAAGAACTCTGTGGGATGATGGCAATAGTCCAAGTCTTCAAAGTCCTTTGCATTGCAGAGTTGTATATATTTGGCAAAAAAAAATCAAAGACAAATCAGAAAAAATGAAAGGAGGATAGATTAGAACTGTGGGCAGTATAGGTAGGCTGAGCAAGAGGCACTGAGGAACTTCCATTCATTCCACATCTGCTTTTATCATTCATTTCACAAATAGACTGTGTTCTTTTGAATTTAGGTGACTTAGTTTTGAGATACGCCATGATTTTGTGGGCTACTACGACAAAAAAATCACTGCCCCAAAAAAATATGACACCTTATCAAGTGTCTCCCAACTTCAGAGGCTTTAAAATGTGAAGAAAATATCATCTTAGAATTTGTAACAGATGGATAATTGAACACCTTCTCTGTCTTAGCAGTGAGAAAGTACATTGTGGATGAAATCTAGATGATAAAACTCAGAATTCCTAAGGAATTGGGCCCAAGCGTACACGAATGGGAAGTTTTTCAAAGCTTGATTCTCTGATTCCAAGTTCAGTGATCTTCCATTATATGACTTTCACCCCAAGGTTGGGTGTTTCTAAAAAGAAGACACAGAACTACCAAGTAAAAACTGGTTGACCTCACAAATATATCTTTAATGTCTTCAATTTAGAAAGGACTCTTCATTGTGCTTTGATGTTGCTTGGTGATATCCATAGAAGCAGTCAGAGAGTATTAACTTCAAATACAAAATAATGCAGTAGGTGTATATGAGTGTGCATGCTTATTTGGGACAAGGAAGTAAATCAAAGGACATATATAAATGTATAGTATGTACATATACATGCTGATAATTGATAATTACTGTCTATTTCTATCACAAGTAACATTTTTTAGATATGTAGAGATAGAAAAAAATTCCATTTCTATCAGTTTTCTGCTTCAAAGTTTTCTTTTAACCTGTAAAGATTCAGTTCTGAGTTCTAAGAACCTGAAAGAAATTTAAGGTAGGAGCTTGAAACCAAAAACATGATCTAGGGCCTGGATTTAAGTTTCTAAACTGGAATGAGGAAGGCAGTGCACACAGTCTTGAACACAAAAGAGCTCAGACTAATTGACAAAACATTTGCCAAGTTGTAACTAAGGCTTAAAGATGCCACTATACTAATCAACCAGATTTCACAGAGAAAAGGTAAGAAATATAAGTTCAAATTTCAGAACAATCCTGGGAGTCTGATGCTGAACTACCAAAAATATGAAGTAGTGACTGGCACCTTGTAAAGTAGAAATAATCAGTTGCCCAGAAACATTGGCAAAGTCAGTCTGAGGAGTACAAGTAGACTAATAGGTTACTTTGATTTCATTATTTCAAATTATCAGCCAGGTGTTAGAATAATTATTGTGCTTCAATTTTGAGATGTTTCAGCTTTCCTTTCACTTTATGAGTTAATATAAGAATGGAATCGTACAGGATGAGCAGGTAAAATAATTTCTATTCCAGTGCAGTAAAAAAAAATCACATAATGCTTTTTAATAAATTCTATAAAGAAATAAGATATTCTGGATTTGGGAATAAGGATGAAGAATATGTTCAAAAAGAGATCATGCTTTACATCATAGGTCCTGTCTTTAACCACTGTATTATTAGCCTAAGAGTAGCATGACATGAAATTCTTAGTTTGTACAAAACATGACTCAGTGAAAGATAAAGAAGAAGCTAGTAGAAGGAGCCTAGGTATGTTGAAGGAAATAATTTGCTTTTTGAGAGTGAAAATGAGCTATATGTCTATTAGCTTTATCTATAATGTCTATTTCATTATTTGAACTCATTCAGCTACCAACAATCTTCTTGCCTTATATTTATTACATAAATATCTGCTATCAGATCCTAAGTTCTCTTGAACTTAGTTTCTTGATCCAAATATTACTATTATAATTATATTTTATTCAGAGTTATTTAGGTTTTGATTGTGAGAAGCACTTACAAGAAGATCTGGTATATAGAAATGATGGAATACTACTCAGCTATAAAAAATGATAACTATAGTCATGTGTGACAACTTGGATGGAACTGGAGGGCATCATGCATTATGAAGCAAGTCAGAAGGACAAAGATAAATATCAGATAATTTCATTCACATGTGGAATATAGAGAAACAAACAAACAAAAAAGGGACTGTAAGAATAAACCAGAGCAAAACCTAGCAATATGACTAGTATTGAGGCTGCTAGAGGGGGAGAGGAGATGGGAGTAGGAAGAAAAGGGGGAGAGGACCCAATAGCCCATGCCTGAAGGTTACTGATTACAGGTGCTCTGATGGTGAGTGTGCTCTGGTGACATGCATCTGAGGAGGTATAAATCTAGTACCTTAAATCATATACAGTGTTGTAAACCAATGTAATCACAATAAAAAATAAATGAAAGTTAAAGAATGTCTATGCGACTTTTCAGAAAAAAATATTGCCTTATCAACTTTATGTTTCACAAAATATTTTTCTATCTAATTCACAACATCTGCATCAGGTCTCCTGAGGTTGTCCGGGCATGATGAAAATTGTAGTAATTAATTATTATACAAGTAATATTTATTCATAATAAGATGAAATTCTCAACATACCTCATGAAGCCGGAGGTCTTTCTCATAAACAAGTTTTTTAACAAATGCAGCTATAAACACAACCCAGGCAACCATGAGCACAATTGGAAGAGAATAAGAGACACTGGTTAAGAAGCTGTAAAAGAACAAAAGCAAAAATCTAGTGAACAAGAGGAATGGTATGCTTGTAGAATGTAATATAAAAATGAAAACATCCCCTCTTATATCGATATACTTCCGTTTTAAAATTGAAAACAGTTATTTTTATTACTCCTTTATCAATGAAATGTGAAGCTGTCTTAAAAGTGGGCACAATCTTTTCTTTCTGTAATGCGACAAGAATAAAACTCAGCTCTGGGTTATTTGATAAGATTGTGATATTGTTTAACCTGTATTTGTCCCAGGAAATAATTATATAGATATAATAATCACAAGGTCAAAACTGTCTGTCTAACCTAAATTCTTATCTACAAGGCAGATTTAAAATTAGATGACCACTGGTTTATTTAGTTAAAAATTATATTTCCCAAAAATAAAAATAAAACTCAAAGCATTTGATTTAAAGTGCAGACAAAGAACTTAAATTCCTCAAATACTCTAGGCAATGTTTTATAAATAACATGGAAATATCTTTTCAGGGGACCTGCTAGCCGTAAGATCTCATCAGACCTAGATGCATTCCTGAGTTTCCTGTCCATAATACCCGGAATTCAACTGCATTGCTACTCAAAGCTTATCAAAATACAGTTTTCTGAGTTCTACTCATAAGGTTTTGATTTTATTTCATCTGGGGTGGGCTGGGAATTTGCATTTTGAATTTCCAGGTAATACTGATGAGGCTGGTCTTGGGACCTCACTTTGGAACCATGATTTCTGACATGAGCTGCCTCCCACGGGCAAAGCAAGAGTCTTCAATGATAGAAACTCCAAAAGGCTCCATGCTGTCATTTGCAGAAAGGTCCCAAGACCATTCCTTTTGTTATCTATGAGACTAAGGAATTGCCTTCAAGCCCCCTTGAAAAATACAATATTAACTGAAGTACACTGCTGATGGGAGCATCAATCCCCAGTTCTGCTCCCCACTCTGTCTCTGGTGAATCTTCTCACCCCTTGCACCTCTGGCCTGTACTCTAGTTCTTGTATGCATAAATAAACAAATCTTTAAAAAAATACAATATTAATGGAACATGACATCATCATCATATACTAGTTTAAAGTGCAAAAGTCCATCATCACCAAGGATGTGAGGGGCTTTTTGGTGAGAGAGCAATGAAGGTTAGGGGTCATCCTTTTTTTTTTTTTCTTTTTTTTGGTTCTTGGAAAACTGTCTGACATGGAGTAAGCTTTTATAGAGTAGTTTGTGAATGAATTTTGTTTCAATTCAAGTGCAACCTTAATCTTTATTTAGCTCTATAATTAGGCAAAGGCTCTTACTCATTAACCACAAATCCCTTGTAAATTTCCTTCAAGTGACAGTGTATCTTTGGTTTGGTATAATATAAAGGAGAAAAATATGACCTTTTAATTAAAGAACCAGTACAGTGCCAGCTATATAACTTGGGGCAAGTTACTTAACCTTTCTGGATTTCAAGTTTTACATCTGGAAAGTGTGGCTGGTAATACCAGCTCTCACTTACCCTGTAAGGTTGTTGGATAGAACACATAAGTTAATATATATGCACCTCCAGGTGGCACAACGGGTTAGGACACAGTACTGCAAGCTGGCCGCAGCAGGTTCAGTGTGAGCTTGATCCCCAGCCCTGGAGGTGACCCACATGGTATGGCAGACCTCTTCTAACCCACCCGCTGTTCCCCTCAGCAGTGTACTTCGTTGATCTACCTGTTCTGCTCCCTTCTCTGTCTCTAGTGAATCCTCCCACTGCTCCTGCACCTCTAACCTGTACCCCAGTTCTGTATGTATAAATAAATAAAAAAAATTTAAAAATATATATGAAAGCACTTTACATGCAACAGAGCATCTATGTGTATGTAAGATTTGATCACACTCCCATAAAAAAAAACAGCATAACTTTATTTTTAAAAGAAACATCCAGGTACCCACAATTAAACAAAATTTACAAGGAGAAAAAGTGAGCATGAAAATAGGTGAGAATTTTTACTTAACAGAACTCACAGGTCTTTACTAATCATGTAAGCCGGTTCAGCTGAAACTGCATAGGCCTGACTGGTCTCCACAGTAAACAGCTAACCTTGACAACCTGCTGACAGAATCCTCACCTGTCTCCTGTATCACCGCTACACAAAGCATTACGTAACCTCAGCTCATCTGTAGCTCTTGAAGCAGCCAAAGGAGACAGAGTATTGGTAGAAAAAAAGGGGAAAAAATCCAGAACCATCTGAATTGTATGTAAACTGCAATAACTGGGTTGAATACCAAGCACCACTTCTTTAAAGTAACACTCAGCCTCAAGCTTTTGTGTAGGAGGATGAGCTTGAAAAACTTAGCCTTCTGATCCTATTTTTTACTGTGGTCAGAGTGAAGGAGCAGCTTAGTGCTGGCAGACAGGTTTTCCTGAACATTCCAATTCAATTGAATCCTTTTTGTTCCTTTAGCAAAACCATTTTACATAAAAATTTCTAGCAAGAGGACTGATTGTAGATAAAACAGTTTCAGGAGATATAATATTTATCTGAGAATGTTATGAATGATGAGTTTATCAAAAATTTTCCTTAAAACTGACTATGCTTGTGGCCATTCCTGGTGGCTCAGGGGGTTAAAGCACAGCACGAAGAAGCTAAAGCCACTTCAACATGAGTTCGATCCCCAGCCCCGGAGGTGACCCACATGGCGTGGCAGACCTCTCCCGACCCCTCAGCAGTATACTTCATCAGTCAGCCTGTTCTGCTCCCAGCTCTGTCTCTGGTGAATCCTCTCACCACCCCTGCACCTTTGGTCTGTACCCCAGTTCTGTATGCATAAATAAATAAGTATATATATATTTTAAAATTGACTATGCTTGCCCAGAGTTTGATCAGATTTGGGTGCTGGAAGGGATTTTCAGATTTCCTGTTTAACCATCTTATTTGACTAGAGAAAGGTAAGTACACTTGAGAGTGGTGAACCTCACAATCAGGCAGTAATGCATATGGGTTGTAGTTCAATTCTCCTAAATCTGGGGCAAAGAGCTTTGGAAAGCTTTGGCTGGGAAGAACATGAGTCACTTGGTAAGCATTTCACCATCATTTTGACAACCGTGGGCAGCCAGAGAGGAGCCATGCCCTGTCAGAATGTAAGCCTTCCCCACACCATTGTATAGTGTGGGTTCTTTCCTGAACCAAACACTGGACTAAGGTTTGGTGAACATCATTCTGTTCTTGTGATCGTCGTGAATGAATAAATAGGAATGAGTTCCCCCAAAAGCAAGTGGTTCTGAAAAAGGGTTGGAAGTGCACAGACTTACTTGTCTTTCATGTAACAGGGGTAAGGAATTGCTTGAACCTGGACTGCTACTTCTTGAGAGTTCCTTCCAGTCTGCAACTCAATGATTGCTCTTTCAATACTATCCTGTAAGTAAATGAAAGCCCGGCCATAGATCTGGTTGTGTGATGGAGAATTGTGTGGTCCCGGAGCCCAAATCTTGGTCCTTATGCTCCTTGTGGTCTGTGCAGTTTTGAGACTCATGCGGATGGTATATTTTATGACAGGAGGAACAGAGGCATTTTCAAAGTCATGGCCCCGGTGCTGACTTTGGTTATAAGGAAGCTTGAAAATAACACCTGAAAATAAAATGGCAGCAACAGCAGAAAGGTCACTTTATGGCTGACATTATTCATTGTTTGGAGGGTACATGAGGGGGCAGCCAAACAGGAAATTGTGTTAGTAATGTGACAGTGAGTTCAGGCTTCTAATTTATAGAAAAGACGCTTAATTGGAAATGACAACCTGAGAGATTCAAAGGAGTTTGAGAATATAATCACAAACTAAGTGGCAAGATTAAATATATCACTCCTAGCCACTTACTGAAATTAAAAAAAAAAAAAAGCACACTTTAAAATGAATAATCTGGCTGATTATGAATGTGGACTCAACTTCACCCCACAACTATATAATCTTTTTCAGTCTTAATTTTAGGCATATTAAAAAAATCACACATATGTTGATGGCTTCTTGGACAACAGGTTTGGTCCATTACATGAAAGGTTCTCATTTCTAGAGACATCAGAGGAGGCAGTGATCCTCCCCTGCCCCAGATCACTTTACTGAATTCTGGTTGAAAGAAGTGAGGGAAGAATTTGGCCAATTTTAGTACAAAGAGAAACTCAAACTCCAGTAGAATAACAACTTACTTCCAAAGAGTTCGTTACTTTTGTAGAGCCTTTTAGCTTCGGTCTCCATTTCATCTACAGTTTTTGCTGCCTGAATGCGGTCATATAATACACAGGAGGAAATATTTACTGTCAGGGAAGATAGTGTGTTGAGATGATCGATGAGGTCAATACTGTTCTCTAATTTCAGCCTTAGAATATCTAAAGGAACAAAAGAAAATAAACCAAAGGATCAAAGGTTGAATCATACTGATGCTTCCAGTAGTAGTAAAACAAAATACTGTTTTGTAGGTTAGTATTAAATTATATCAGATTACAAAAAGAATTAACTCTACCAGTATCTACTGCCATGCACCTAGGAAAATTGTGCAGTTATACCAACATTCATTGAGATTGTTAAACTAGTTACAGATATAATAAATCCAAGGTCAAAAAGCAATACCAGCCATTTGAGAGTATATTCTGCTACAATTTAATTATCCAATGAATAAAGGTGAATGGATTTTTTTTTAAATCTAGCTTTATATATAGTTAGAAAGAAAATTACTAATCAGAGGTGAAAGTTTGGAATAAAGAGAACAATTTTGTTTTGTTCAGGGAGTGTGAGCATAAGGATTTAAACAATGGATAAGATGTGTGGAATGCATTGAACAAATAAACAGCAGTATTCAATAAGGTGTGCTATAGGATCATTTCTTAGGAGACTGGGAGAATTTGCCACAGTTACAACTTTCTAATATTGTTGATTCAAAGCCTTATGAGAGTTATCTCTATTGATATCTGTATTAATCTAGACAAAATGATCAAGATTTTATTTCAGGTAGTTACTCTGGAAGGGAATCTAATTGCTCTTCAATTTCATGAGTCCTTATGAGGAAATCAGCTGAGACAAAGGGTAAATATCAAAATGTAAGTTAATAAATCATTGGCCAATTAAGTTTTCACTGACTTGATCATCACAAATACCCAGAAGGCGTTGATATCATAAATCGCTCCTCATAAAAGTCAAATATGTCTCTTTCATCATCCATGTTAAGATTAAATTTCTTATAGAGGGCAACTTCTTAATGATATGTCTCCTTGGAATTTAAAGTGAAATGTTTGTTCGATATAGACTTGGTGGGGTTGGGGGAGGGTAAAAATTGTGGTTGAACAGTGGTTTCCGGGAACCAGTGAAAATCAATATAACACCGAAGGATTCTTTAGAAATGCTGGTAGAATCACTAATATCTTTCTTTAACTGTTGGATGATCATAAAGCACGATTATGTCAAATATAAATGAGGGCATAATTCCTCCCACTAGTTTACAACCTAAGTCACTTACATCCCAGTAATAGTACTGGGGAGGAACAGGGGCGTTTGTTCTTCTGCTGGCATATTCTGATACTCTCAATCCCTTTCTCATACATCTGGTTGCATAGCAACAGTGAATCAGACACAGGCTGAATTAGATGTCTTGCATCCCTGAGGTTGAAGGTGGGAATGTGGCAGAGGGAAATTCATAAGTTCAGACAGTCTGCTTTGATATTCTTTGGCTTGCTCCTTTTAAATGACTGTGAGAAGAGGATCCAATCTTGAATACTGATTGAGGTTTATTTCTTTAGAGTCTGTGCATTGTCTTTGTTTTGCTTTCATTGACTCTATAACCTCTTCCAGTTACATTCTGGGTTAGTCAAAGTGATATTGAAGCCAATAAAGATACAGTGTTAAGTATAGACTGAAGTAACCCATTTTCTTTTTCTTTTCTTGTCCTTAAAGACTTGTTTTTCATCATTACCAAAATAAAAAGGATCCTCTTACCTGTAGCAATCTACCTATGACCACAAGAAAATCTAACCATGTGGAGAATATTGCCTTATAACCACAGACACTGGGTATCCAAATAATCATAAAAGTTCTATGAATTTGGACTCACCAAGTTCATCTATCTGCTTCAATAGTTCAACGGCATCAAGTCCTACAGAGAATTTTATAAAAACTTGCACAAAAGGGTTCCGTAGAGTATTCTATAAAGAATAATAGGGAGTTGGTTTTAACATAAACCGATGTTTGATCAGTATCTCTAGTAACACCATATTAAAATGACCAAGCACCACTTGGCCTCATCAATGCACCATTTTGCAAAGTTACACATGCAAAACCTTCAGAAAAAAGATAGGTAAATGGTAATGACTTGAAAGTTTGGGCTTTTGTATGGACACAAGTTGAAGTGGCCAGATATGAACACTAATCAACATTAAAAAGAATATGGAGGGGCTCCCTGGTGGTACAAGAGTTAAGTCTGAGCACTATAAGCTATCGCCTGCCACTGTGGCCTGAGTTCTATCCCTTCCCAGGCAGCTGAACCCTATGGCATGGCAGACTTCACCTGTCTTGTGTGCTGCTCCTCTCAGCAGTATATCTCAGTAGATCTGCCTATTTTGCTTCCCCACTCAGCCCCTCTAGCCTATACCCCAGTTCTTATATGCAAAAATAAAATACATCTTTTAAAAATATGGCCTCTCCTGACCGGCCCACTGCTCCCCTCAGCAGTGCACTTCATCAGTCAGCATGTTCTGCTCCCCTCTCTGTCTCTGGTGAATCCTCTCACCGCCTCTGTCCTTCTGGCCTGTACCCCAGCTCTGTATGCATAAATAAATAAATCTTTTAAAAAAATATGACATTTCTTTTTTGTAACTATTAAATATATATATTTTTCACACATGCTATGGGCAATTTCAGGGGACCATTGCTGTATTTTGTTCATCTGAAATAAATGACTTTTAATGACCATTTTGTTTACATGGCACTTGACACCTCAGTCACCTTGAACCCTACGTTTACTTCTCCCTCTTGAAGGCACTTAGCTTTTTTCAGCCTTAGGTTCCTTTTCTGCAAAGTGAGCATGGCTGATTCATGAGAATAGTCAAGTATAAGTTATTATATTATGGCTATGTTAAATGCTATGTTGAATATGGAAAAATAAGTTGTCGATAAGCTTTAAATTACTCTGTATTCATGGAAAAACTGAATTAAAAATAATTTAAAATATACAGGTTTTTCTAATTAGCTTCCACATTCAGAGATAACATCCACCACTGTAGAGATACATATAACAATAACCATTGAGATCCTATTGTGTTCTGGGCATTGTGTGATGGAATGAATCTTTCATTCTATGCTTAACTTCTTGAACACGATTATAATGATGGGCATTCTTATTGCAAAACTATTTTAATGATCAATCAATTTTCCATGATACTTTCTTAATTCTTTGAGTTGTAATACATTCTCTCTTGAAGTTCCTATGTTGTCTTCATTCCTGACAGTTTCCTCCAGTTGGCAAATGGTCTAACTCTTAACTCTGATGTCTCATTTCTAATTTCTTTAAACTGTCAAGAACTCTATGCTTAGAACATTTCTCCACATTATTTGCATCATCAGGAAAATGCTGCAGCTTTTGCAAGAATTGCAAATTACATTTTTCAACCAGGTGAATTGTATTTGAATTGCATTGTCAAGTCCTTAACCTCGACCGTAAAGTTACAGCAAAAGAACTCCCCAAAGTTAATGTTCTCCAGAGTATCAGTATTTTATGCATTCTGGTTCTGTTAAAATAGCAAAATATACTTTAAAGTGGAAAAGTTAGTGTTATCTTAAGTAGCTTTTTTTAAATAGCATTTTAGTTTTAGAAAACAGATTTATATCACCAGCTAGATCAACTTGTAAGATGTTTCATCTCTGAATTACCGTCAGAGAAGATTGGGTACAAGAGGTGATCATGATTATGAACATGAGTGACAGACCTGTTATCCTGTCTCAGGCCTACTGAAGAAGAGGTAGCTTTAATCTGTTGAATATGGATTCTAAGTTACTAGATTCTCTCGCTCATATAATGAAGGTGATTAAAATCTCAGAGACTTGTAATTCCTGTTAGGTGAATGACAGAACAGCCTCCTACCTGGAGCATTGGAATTGTCTGGTTTAACAGATGGAAGGAATTCATAAAAAGCGGTGACTTATCCATCCACTCTTGAGATTTTTCTCTTAATTCCGCCAGCTGCCTCAGAGTTACATTAGACTTAAAAGACAAAGAAACAAACAAAGATCTGGCTCATTAGTATTTGTCCTATATTCCAAAAAGATATCGTATGGTTGTTCTGTTATATTACTCTATGAAATAGTTCTACAATGTGGAGTTAGTAAAAGATATCCAGAAATTTCTGACTTGGCCAGAAGTCTTTAAATAACAGATCATTTAGGGTCAATATCACTTACAAAAATTCTGGAAAATTGATAACTATTTTCATTCACACAGTGAATCTACAGTCAAAACGAAAGAATGTTTTCTGGAATTGTCAAGCTACTCATTTTTACCAATAGTATATATTTTATCAATAAACATCTTTCTTCAAGGAAATAAGACAGATATTACTGGTGTGTTACAACCATTTTTGGAAAACAATTTGACAAAGTTCATTAAAATAAAATATGTTCTTCAATCTCTCAATCTTGTACAATTATCTCATTGAAATAGAAATGCCACTGTGTAAAATCATATATATGCGCAAGAGTATTTGCCGTTAAATTGATTATTTTAGCAAAACAAAACAAGACAAAACAAAACAAAACTTCAAACAAAATGAGTGCCAAACTCTGAAGACTGGTTGAGTCAATTCTATAGTATAAAAATGCCAATAATCTGGCCCTCCCTGGTGACACAGCGGGTTAAAGCACAGCACTAAGAAGCTAACGCCGCTTCCGCATGAGTTCGATTTCCACCTGCCCCGGAGGTGACCACATGGCGTGGCAGACCTCTCCTGACCCGCCCGCTGCTCCCCTCTGCAGTGTACTTCCGCGATCTGCCTGTTCTCCTCCCCACTCTGTCTCTGGTGAAGCCTCTCGCCACCCCTGAGCCTCTGGCCTGTACCCCAGTTCTGCATGCACAAATAAATAAATCTTAAAAAAAAAATGCCAGTAATCTTCAAAAATAATTATTTAAATTATATCTATTGAGTTAGAAGAATTTCATCAAGGAACTGCTCTGTGAGTAAAGCAATGTGTAAAAAATATTATAGTGCAACCTCATTTCAATAATGTAAACAATAAACTGTGTTCATATGAAGTGTGTACTTGACTTCATTTATGCAAAATTATGTAGAAGTGTGTGATCAACGAAATAAATAAGCTGTTAAGACACAAATAAGGACATTCTAGAACTCAATGATGGTCCATATCCATTTTATAGACCTAAAAAATAAAGTATAAATAGAAAAGCAGAAATATATATCACTTTCACTCTACTAATTTAAAAGTATTGTTTATAAATAAAATCATTAAAATTAACTTAAAATGAGAAGGAAATGCTATTAATGATTAAGTTAGTTATATGATAGTTATAGTTATTCATAATACTGCTTTCCTTAACATCTAAATAACTATGATAAATTAAATGTATCCAGATAGGAAGCCCAAAATCTATAATTTTGGGATTGTCTTTGTTGAAACTAATTATATAATGTTCTAATACAATTTTTTTCTAGTGCTATTATTTTTACATACTTTGAAAGTTAGGCAACAGTTGAAAAATTTTCTGCTTCTGGAGTTAAATTGAAAAATCAGAGATTTTGCTTCAACTAACCTCATTCTCTAGTATCAAAAAGCATCATTTCCCTTCAAAGGGCTACTGCCTAGTTTCTATCAGTTACACATACAAGGCAGAAGTTGAGAAATATTAAGAATTTCAGCAAGTCAAGGGTTTTAGGAGGCCACATACAGAGAATCAGACTTCATGAGCTTATAACTGGTTTGTTGGATGCTTTAAAAATCACATTAATAAGGAGATAGAAGCTTGAAGTTGTAGTGCCCAACCTTTTCCATGATTGCCTTTGTGACAGGAGTGTACGGTGCATACAAAATCCTTCCCAGCAACATGGGTTTCAGGAAAGCCCAAATCACAGTTCCAGCAGGCATGTTAATGATGTCTTTATAAAGGGAGAAGCAAAATGGTGCTGAAAGGAAAAAATGCAATGAAATAATTTAGCCTATGTATTTTAAATCTTTTTCATCATTGTGAAGTGACAAGAATTATTGTTATCACATCTTCTTCCTCTACTGACAAATATGAGCTATTTGGTACTGAAGTAAGAAAGCGTAACAACAAACTATTCTTGGGTGTGAAAGTTTAACCTAATAAGCCAGCCCATAATAAATGGTAGCAGTTTCCAAGAGAAGTGAGAAAGGGTAGAAACCACATTTCAAAATTTCTTTCAGCAGATCCACCTCAATAGCACTTGCTTTAAAAATGTATTCAAGGACCCTCCCTGTTGGCACAACAGGTTAAAGCACAGCACTGCAAGCGAGCTCAGCAGCTTCAGTGTGAGTTCAATCCCTGGCCCCGGAGGTGACCCACATGGCGTGGCAGACCCCTCCATACCCACCCACTGCTCCCCTCAGCAGTGTACTTCATTGATCTACCTGTTCTGCTCCTTACTCTACTACCTGTTCTGCTCCTCACTCAATCTTTGGTGAATCGTCTCACCTCTCCTGTTTCTCACCTGTACCCCAGTTCTGTATGCATAAATAAAAAATAAATCCTAAAAAAATAAATAAAAATAAAAAATAAATTTATTTAAAAAAATGTATTCAAAATGCGGTTACTAAGTATTAATTACATAAGAACAACACAATAAATATTTGTTGAATGAATAAAAGATGGATTAACTGTTAATCATTGATATATTAGTTGGAAAAGCTCCACAAATTAGATTTTGCTTCTCAGAATTTATAGATTAAATTGATGACTTCGATGTACCAACAAACATTTGGAGTTCTGTGGTATTCACGAAGCTTTTTGATGTGTGATGCAAATTTCCAATTTTAGAAAATTTTAAAAATATTGACCTGAGCAGGCTTAAGTTTTGCAGCAGACTTCCTGGGTTCAAATCACAGCTCAGAGCTGCGTGACCAAGATTAGGTTATTTAGCCACCCTGGTCCTCCTTTTCCTTTATAAAATATAGAATAGCGTATACCTCGGGAGTTGGTGGGAAAAGGAAGTTAATACACACAACAAGCTTGATGCATACTGAGAGTAGTGTGTTTTCTGTTTTTTGTGCTTAAAGGAAATTATTATTTCATTATAGAAGGCTAACACATATTATGAAGAGGTGACACTACAATACTTATTTTGAAGTATACTCACTGGTGTGCAAGGGGATTCCATATTTTGAAGCAATTTGCTCTTTAGTTAATTTGTAAGTTAAAAAATCCTTGGTGTGGTTGCCTTTATGCCTCTGGGAAGAGGGCAGCAAAGCAGTTAAATATTCAGTGGTAATTCCTTGCGAGCACAGCGCTTGGGAGATGGTACTAAATGATCCGTGGGGTGTGTTCATCCGGTTGCTTCTGTACATAGCCTGTGAGACATAAACCCGTGACAGATGAACAGGATGTGAATGACACATGCCACTGGAAACAGTCTAGGAAAAAACCCTGACAATGTGTATTTTTATAGTTTCCTGAAACCCCAAATGTAAATGCAGGACAAACACTAAAAACCCCTTTAAGTGGAGTTTTCTGCTGGTGATTTTTCCAATGCATCACGTTTGTAGTTGAATGTACTATGACTAATACTGAATAGAAGTTAAAATGACAAACAAAATTTCCCACTGGAACATGATTGCATGACTTCCCTACCTGTGTTAATGGAACATTTCTGGGCAGGTGCATCTGTTTCAGTGATTTCATTTTGTCCAGCAGTGGACGGGTGCCAGAAGCCATCTGATTGAGAATCTCTTTTAGCCTTATGAAGAGTTCTATCATCCTTTCTACCGGCTTTTGATCTTCCCTAGGGAAAAACACCTAAAACGAACAAAAGTAAGCAATTTATGCAAGAAATTCGAGTTCTTGCATCCTGTTGTTATTGAGATTATTAAAAGGTATAGCTGCTTTAGAAAACATTTTGAAAGTTCATAAAGAGTTGAACATAAATTTACCATACAATCCAGCAATTCCACTCTTATGGATTTGCCCAAGAGAAGTGGAAACATATGTCCACACAAAGATTTGTATAAGAATGTCCATTGTAGATTTACTCACAATAGCTGGAGTAGAAACACAAAACGTGTATTCTTAAAATGCAAATACAATATTTGATAATAAAATAAAATATTACCATGTTGTAACATGTATGAAACTTGAAAATGTCATACTAAGTGAGAAAGTCAGACACAAATACTATATATTATATACTTCAATTTATATAAACTGTCTGAAAAAGGCAAATCTATAAAGATAGAAAATAGTTAGAGTTTGCCTGAACGAGGGATCACAGGAAAATGACTTCAAATGGACATGAGGTTTCTTTATGGGTTGATGAAGATATCCTAAAATTCAACTGTGGTGCAATTCTATCTATGTGCTAAAAATCATCAAATTGTTCACTTAAAATGAATTTTGTGATACACAAATTATACCTCAATAAAGTTGTCAAAAATAAATGATTTTAAATGTGTGCATGATAGATGCAAATTACATAATTCCTCCTACATATTATTGCTTAAAAATCATACAATGCGCTCCTAAACGTCAGAAAAAGCCCTCTCAAAAAGCTCATATGATTTATAAGGCTTAATCATAATCACATAATACTTTCCTGTTACAGAAAGAAACATTGAAAATATTTTAAAACTTTAAATTAATTTTATCCTCTCAGTCGTTTATTCAACAAACATCAATTGAGTTGTTTGCTCTGTTTCCACCCCCGGGAGAGGTCAGGGGTGTACAGAGGGGCACGAGTTGTCATCATGCTTCCACTTGGGTGTTTAGGTTTAATAGGAGGAAACAAAGTCGACAATGAACAAAAGCTTGAGAAATGGAGGAGAAAGAATTTAGTTGAAACATGAAGGGTCTTCTTTCAAGATGGAAAGTGGTACTTCAAGGGAGAGAATGAACAAACTGCTGAAGAACAAAAGAGAGGGAGATTAAGGGGAGAGAGAAAAATCGGGAGGTTCATATGGATGGAAAGGCTTGGTGTGGTCCAGGAATTCAGTTGCAGAGATTTCACGAAGACTAGGTTCATTAACATAGCTACTAAATACAATAAAATTTTCTATGTTAGAATTAGTATTTTCATGGCTCTATCAGCTTTGCCAAACTTGTTAGCCCCTCTACAGTGATGTGAAATAAGTTGACTAATGATGAAAATTTGTGCTATTTTTGTTTGCAAAACTGGAACAAATTAGGAATGGGTCTGAGCTTTTCAGGTTCATGTCTATCTAATTACTAGACTTCATAAGAAATCCAACAGTTGGCTTCATATGTGTTCTTCAGAGGCATGCCGTGAAATGAGGGTTAAAAGTGTAAATTAACAAAAGTAATAATTTTTTAAAAAGATTTTATTTATTTATGCATACAGAACTGGGGTATAGGCCAGAGGTGCAGAGGCAGTGAGAGGATTCACCAGAGACAGAGTGGGGAGCAGAACAGGCTGACTGATGAAGTACACTGCTGAGGGGAGCGGCGGGCGAGACAGGAGAGGTCTGCCGCGTCATGTGGATCACCTTCGGGGCCGGGAATAGAACTTTCACTGAAGCAGCTGGGGCTAGCTTGCAGTGCTGTGCTTTAACCTGCTGTGGCACCAGGGAGGGCCCAAAAGTAATAATTTTATTTCCTATGTGCTTTAGATTATAATTTATATAAAATAACAATTTGTTTAGACAGGGTTATTTGCTGAGTTCCTCTGTGGGTTAGGTATGGTTCTTGACATTTGAAATATTTCAAATGTGAACAAAGAGGTCTTTATGGAGCTTATATTCTAATTGGGGTAGACAGGAAATAAATAATAAAAACAAATAATAATAGAATATATTGTGTGTCGAAAGTGCAACTGAAAACCATAAAAGGAAGTTCAAGAGGCTGTAGGTGAAGTTGGCTGCATTTAAATAGGGTGGCTACTCAGGCCTTCTCAAGGTCAATGCTGAGTAAAGACAAACAGGTGAGCAAATCACGAGGAGGGCACTTCTGGATTGCTGTCTACAGCAGCCAGGGGCTCAGGAAGTCCTGAAGTAGGCCATGAACTTTTAGAGATGGGGAGGGTTGTACAGAGAATACGGTTTCAGAAAGATATAGAGGTTGCCTTGAATAAAACGGTGAGTTGTTAGAAAGGGTTGAGACTTAATAAAACTTAAGTTTTAAAAGGATCACTCTGGCTCATTATGGAAATGTGGAGCTTGGGGGTCAGGTGTGGAGGCAGGGAAGCCAGCAGAGGCATTGCAGAAATATATGTGTGGGATAGAATGACCCAGAACAGGATTGTTTATAACTAGTCCTGAAACTTTGCACCTCCTTTGCTATCAAGCTTCAACAATATGAGTCAGTGGTAGTATTTCTGGTTTCCTACTTAAAGGGAAAACATTATTATTCTAACTTTTGTATTTCACACTTATATATCAAATTTAATTCCTAGTTCTTGGGTACACAAACTGGGAGTTAAGAAGGCAATAATATTAATTCCCTTATCTATAAAATATGCAAATTTGCAAATATAATCTCTATGGCCCCATTTAGCTCTAAAATAAAGCTGTAACTCCAAAAGTTGTGTAAATGGATGTAGTCCTATAGTATCAGAGAGCAAACTTGCACCATCAAATATTTTTATATTAAACTATGAATTTAAAAGTATCTCATCAACAGCAGCTTGCCTTGTACGTGAAGTTGTAAATATCTAAATAGTGCAGGAGAGTGAGTCCAATGAGGTAAGACTGCCGGGACCTCTCTGGCAGAGGCAGACTGCAGAATTCCTCCATTGCGTCTTCCAGCTTGGGGTTAGTCATGTTAGCATCACAAGAATGCAACCAGAAGACACGAGAAATAATCTGCAAGTTGGAAGAAAAAAAAAATTTTAGCTGTGAATCCTTTGATTTCTGTCCATTTGGAAGCTTTTTCCCCCCCCCCCCCGCCCCCGGACATTTTTTAAAAAGATGACAAAGTACCCTAACAATCAAGTGATTTTTTTTTAAATGTAAAGCAGAGGTGACTTCAACATAACTAACCTTCAAATTCACTAGAGAACTTAAGAAATAAGCTGGGGGAAAAGAGACAGAAAAGTTTATGATGAGTCCAGGTTTCTTCTTAAACCACTGGGTAGATCCAGAGAGGATAATGATTTGGAGTAAGTCTGGGAAAATGACTAGTTTGAAAGTCATGTTCCCTTTAAAATTCCACTCTCAATTTATTAAAACTGCATTTCACTTTTACAATCATTCCAAGTTGCAATCTTTAGAGTACACCTAGAGCCTAGAGCTGAAAGGCAAAGAAAGCAAGCCTTGATTCTTGAAATAGAGACATACACCCATCCTGGAGTTGACCCTGTGAGAAAAGCGAGGTGTAACCATGGGAAGGAAGATGTCAGGTCTACTGTAACTAGGTTGAAATAAAGAAACAGTTTATGAAATTCAAAACTGTAGAAATTTGTTCCTCTTATTTTTTGAAAGGAATAAAATGTGAAAATCCATTTACATTTTTGTATTTACTAATGTGAACCTACTTTTCAAAGTCAAAAACATGACTACTAAAGTTAGAGCTTAGGATCAAGTGAGCAAAGAGTGAGATCAAAAGAAAAAGGTGAATGAATATTTTTGTAGGAATGAGGGGGGAAAGGGAAGACAAAGCAGTTTCAATTTTCAAGTGGGGGAACCAGTTAAAATGGCAAAGGTATACTGACAAGTATTCCAAAAGCAATCTTAATGATTTTTTAAAAATTATTCACTATTGGGGATTAACCAAACAGTGCACAGAAATAATACTTTCTGTCACACTTAAGTTTTGGGTGGATGAGGCCTTAAGCTCTATAGCTCTTTTGGAAAATTTCTATGACACTTCTATACAATGGACTTGGAAGATAAGGTGTTTTAAGAAAAAAACCCTTTTATCTGCCTATGAGTTAAAAAGATATATATATTTATTATACCCCAAACTTATGCAGTGTTCCCTTGACCAGCTCTATTTTTCATATAATGTCTTATCTTGGGCCTTTTAAAAAGTAAAAATGAGCATTCCTTTATATTTAGTTTCATCAAATTGTAACTGGTCTCTGATTTTTTTTCCTCCGTGGAGCTTAGTGAAACTTGACTTTGGTTCCTTCAGAAGATAGGTGCCAATTTACTTCAGAGAGCATGATGGTGACTGTCAATATAAGGAATTACTGATGGCCCTGCCTGGTGAAGGCCGCTGGGGGTGATGTGAAGGAGAGGACACAGGAATTCAGAAGTAAGAGAAAGGCCACATAGCCAGAGAGATCCTGTTGCTTCAAGGTTGTCCTCTTCACTTAAGAATTAGGTCTCTAATTTTATCATTTGCATGGAATATTCACTAGCGTTGTGTATATTTTCTCAGTGACTTACTGACAAGTGCTCAATAAATACTACTTAAATGCTGTTAAGTTTTCAGAGCCTGGATTTAACAACCTTACCTCAGCTCTGTTATCAGGGATTGGGATGGCCAGCAAGTTGTCGATACTCCTGTTGGACATTCCTGTTGTTCTCCTCAGTTCATCTTTCAGCTGTTCAACATTTTTAAACATTTCTATTAACTGGCCTGCAAGAAAAGAAAATCACTCACTCACCGGTTGCAATGTAATTCTTTTTATTCACACTAACTGAGAAATCTTCTAGTTTAAAATATATTTAACTTGCATGTCCTAGGTCAGGGCTGTCTTCCAGTTTTGGCAAACTTCACATCTTTAAGATCTATTTCTATTTTTCTAGATTTATTTCTATTATGATATCATTAATCCATGGAAACAGATTTTTCTGTGTTATAAATTTTCCTTTGATGTCTATGATGCCAGGTTGATTCAAAGAAAATATGGCTTCCTCACAAACTTTGATCATACGATGTACTAAATATATATATCTTCATTTTATTTAAAACATCACACTACTTCAAAATGCTTTTTAATCTCAGATCATATGATAGTGTCAACTTGTGCTTAATTGGGTAAGTCTGCAACATAATGACATAGCACATTTTCCCTTAATTTTGCCCGAGCACACCACAGTTTATAAAGGGGTTTCACAATCACTTCCTTACTTTTAAGTAGAATATGCTTAATTTCAAATGTTTCTAGGAAAGTGGTTATCATTATTTCATCTCTGGGACACTTTTAACAGACTATGGTCTGTATTCGGCAGGTACTTTTCTATTTCTTTGTAGGAAGTATGCATCATGCAAATATGCCTTCTTTATTTTGGGGCTTAGTGCCCTTCCAATTTTGTGACCCCTCTTTTCCCAAATTGTAAATGAATGGCTTTCTTTTCAATATTGAGGTACTATGCAAAAGAGAATATATTGTACGATGCATCAGGATCAGAATACTAATAGGAGGTTCTGAATTGAGATTTCTGTAGACAGCACATTTTAAAAAATCAGATTATTTTCACAGAAGTAAATAAATTTCATTTTAGCTCTTGCAACTGACTATCTAATGCATTTTAACATATCCAAGAAACAAAGGGCAAATGGTCTAACTAGTTAAATTTTTGAAGAGCTTTTTGCTGTGAAATCAAATTTCCCTGCTTCATTCTCTGCTAGCTTTCTGTGTGTTTGCTTTAGACATGTAACCATATTTGAAAGGTTCAGGTTTCTTGTGTGTAAGGGCAGATAGCAATATAGGTTTGATGGGAATTTCAAGACAGTATTTCTTAAGCTGCTGCATAAGAACCACATGCATTCTACTAAGATGGATTTTAAAATATGTATAGGGAAATACCTGGATTTTCAGAAGTGTCTACACTTTTATTAACATGCAGCACAGCTTCCATGGTTGGCATTAATCTTGTGATATTTTCCAAGTAATTCATTTGCAAAGCTTTTTCTAAAAACCTGGAACAAAACAGAAGAGACGGGAAAAAATGGAAGTAGGCTTATCAACCACTTGAGAAAGGATTTCACCAAAGAAGACAACAAAGGGAAAGCTCACCCATCCATATTTAAATTAATTTTGCTTGGATCCCCAGTCAGCAAATCTCTCAGATTTTTGGATACGATATTGTCGTGGTACAGTAAGTTAGTTGCTATTTCGGTGCCAAGCTCTGCTGCTTCAAGGAGTCGCACATGAACCACACTCTCTTCACACAAATTCTCAAAGTTCACATTTGATTGCTGGCACATTTTCTCTAGTGAGTTGAAAGTTTCAGATTCACAAAGAAGTTGGGTCAAGTTTCGAAGCTGAGAAAGCTTTGCAGAAGGGAGAAAGAGTGGGAAATAGATTAGTTATGTTATTCTAATATTTATTGACAATAGGCAGCCACAATTGTTTTACTACAAAAGAAATATTTTGTATATGTGTTCAGTAACTTGGTATTTGGCAATGGTTGTTATTATAAAGAATTATTTTTTGTCATTTTGGTTTATTGGTCTCTTGGAAATTTCATAAAACTTTTAGATCTACTAGATCTTCCATCCCCAACTATGCTCATATCATGTAAATTCACAGGTTAAGGAGGTATAGCTTAGTTTTATCTCGTTTACGTCACAAATGCTAAATTTAATTTTATGTTTTAGTATATATTTTAAATCATGTGTTTGGTTTGGCTTATAGTTTAAAATAGTCATTCTTCCTCACATTCACTAGAATAGCTTCTTTAAGACAAATCAGTCAACCAACCAAACAAACAGAAAATAGTAAGTGTTGGCAAGGACAAGGAGATGACAGAACCCTGTGCATGGTTGGTGAGAACGTAAAATGATGTACCCACTATGGGAAATGGCATGGTGGTTCCTTAAACAATTAAAAACAGAGCAACTGTCCATGGTCACATGAATGGATCAACACAATGCAGTATATACATATAATGGAGCATTATTCAGCTTTGAAAAAGAAAGGATCTTTTGCCAGGACTACTACCTTCCAGTAAGTCACCAAAATGGCCAACACTAAGGGAAAGAGGAGAGGTACCCACTATATGTTTTCTAGGCCTTTGAGAAAGCATGGAATTGTTCCTTTGGCCATAAACATGTGCATCAATAAGAAAGGGAATACTGGAGACATCAAGGGGATGGGTCCTTTCAAAAAGGAATGCCCACTCATGTTAGTTACCATGGGAAAACTGGAAGAGTCTGTAATGTTGCCCAGCACACAGTTGTCATTGCTGTAAACAAGGAATAAGATTCTTGCCAAAAGAATGTTTGTCTTGAGCATATAAAGCACTCAAAGAGCTGAGAATGCTTCCTGAAATGTGTGAAAGAAAATTATCAGAAAAAGAAAAGGAAGTCCAAGAAAAAGGTACTTGCATTCCGCAGAAGTGTAGTCTGTTCCACCCAGAGAAGCTCACTGTATAAGAGCCAGAGGGAGCCTGAGCAGCTGAACCCAAGCCCTGTGGATTCATGGCATGGTAGGTGTGGGGAGGAAAGACTTCTGGATGGTTACAGAAAAAAAAAAAGGAGAAGGAATTCTGATGCATGATACACCATGGATAAATATTACAGAAGACATTATGCTATGAAAAATAGCCAGGTACAAAGTTAAGAGATACTGTATGATCCCACTTGGATGAGATATCCAGAGTAGTGAAATTCATAGTGGCAGAAAGTAGAATTGTGGGTGCCAGGGACTTAGGGAAAGGGCATGGGAGGTGGCTGTTTAATGGACATAGGATTTCAGTTTTACAAGATGAACAGTTCTGGTTGTACAATATAAATATGCTTAACACTAAGGAACGGTACTGTTAAAATGGCTAAAATGGTACATTTTATGTTCTGTGTATTCTGACTAAATTTTAAAAATTGACATAAGTCTTTTAAAATCTCCCTTGGTGCTACTGGGTGTGATGTGTCACATACACTTGGGGGTTTGAGGTTCTATATTTCTGAATCATATACAGTGTTGTAAGCCAATGTTACCCTAATTAAAACAATATTTAGAAACTGCAGTATGAAAATCACACACAATTTGAAAGGACTGCATTGAAAATATAGTTAGGCACACACCTGTTTTTCCCTAAGTGTCTGCACTGTTATTAACATGATCTTCCACTCTTACCTACTGGGGGAAACTAGGTGTTTTTGTTCTAGGGAAGTGCTGAAGGGCTTAACATTCCACACCCAAAGGAAAAGGAGAAAAATGAAAATGAAGTAATTTTCTATGCTGTCAATTATATTCTTGTCTGCAGTTCACTATGCTCTTGTGTTCTAAGGATGTCTCCCCCAATTCATACTTCCTGGGGAGAAAATGATGCCTCTGGGAAAGTCAGTTGGGCTGTGTTTGGAAGCTACCCTGGAGCTATTCCTTTTAAGAAGTGAAATAATTTAGAGCACTATCTAAAGAAGCAAATAGATGTGTCATTCATTGCAGCTCAGTGAAGTCAGAAGCTGCATTTTGACAGAAGTGAAATGTTTTATGGCACAGGCAAATATTTAGGAATATTTCCTTCCATATATCAAATGGTACCACACGACGGTGTGTCTCTGATGAGAGGTTTATAGTAACTACATGTAGGCAGAAGTAATTAAACACTGATCATCTTAGTAGTAAATATCATTGGTCTATTTTCCACTGTATTTAATATTCTAATTGACTTCTGGCTTTGAACTATCTAAAATGGCCTCATACATATTAAAATTCTACTTACTAGTTTTACTGCTATGATAAATTTCTCATTATGTAATAGATCCAATCATTTTACCAGCTATAACTATATATTTGCCACTCCATTTCTCCTTTTGATTTTCCAAGTACTGGATATGATTAAATTTCTAGTGAATGGAGGCAGACCTCCCGGCCACATCCTCCAGGGACTTATTTTTATGATTTCTTACGTAAAAGGATGCATAGCAAAGAACCCACCAACAAAGTGGACAACCTATGGAATGGGGGAAATTACAAGTCACATATAGTTTAAGAGGTCAAGGTTAAGGGGTTAATATCCAAAACATATGACAAACTTATACAAACCAATAGCAATAATAATAAGAAGAATGGACAAAGGGCCTGAATAGACACAAATGGCCAACAGGTACATGCAAAGATTCTCAACATTATTAGACAATAAGAACATATTAAGTAATGCCACAGTGAGTTACCACCTAGTACCTATCAGAATGGCCACTATCAGAAAATCAGGAGACAACAAATGTACGTGTGGATGTAGAATTTAAAAGGAAACACTTTGCACTGTTGATAGGTTGTAAACTGGTATGGCCACTATGGTGAACAACAAGGGGGAGCTACAAAGTTTAAAAATAGATCTACCATATGATGCAGTAATTGTACTTCTGGAAGTAAATCCAAAGGGAATGAAAACACTAGCTGAAAAGTTATCTGCACCCCATGTTGATGGCAGCATTATTTACAGTCGGAGTATTATGGTAGCTAAGATGGAAACTACCTATGTGTCCATCATGGTGGCTGAATGGATAAAGCAGTGTATATGTATCCATCTATGATGGAATGTTGTTCACCAATTAAAAAAATAAGAAAATTCTACCATTTTTGATAACATGAATAGAACTTGATGGCAATATGCCTGGGGCTTGAACTCAGGTTATAGAGATGACAGTGCTGAGACTTAGCCCTTAGGCCATCAGGGAGGCTCCAAGGGGCATCCTCTGTGCTGAGGATACAAAAGTAAAGAAATGGTTGTAGCGAGGTTCCTCCTCATAGAATTTGTTGTCTGGGAGGATGGGTTGTCCATTGCCAACTGCAGTCATGCTTATTATAAATGACTATTTTCTGCCCAAGGGACAAGACTATAGTTTATTTCTACTTGTGCAACTTTTTCAGGAGGTACTTTTCAAGGCAGTATATTCAAAATGTAGATGCTGTTTTAAATTATTCCCATGGGGAAACCCATGGGGATTACAACTGAGATGCAAAAATGCACAAAATGAGGAATGATGTGTAAAAAAAAATTTAAAAACCTGAAAAAAAATTATTCCCACTCCAATTCCATTACTACAAATGATCGGGAGTGCATTACTTGCATTTCCCTAGTGCATGTGGCGTGTTGCCTGGCTACTTACACTTTGAAAACTATAATGGGTACATGTCCAGGTATCACCAGTGCTCCCCTTCAACATCCTCACTTATTCATAAGCTCAGTCTTAGCTCCTACTAGATATGTGCCTTTAGAAGATGTGATTTCTTCAGAGTTTACACTCCAGTGAGGGAAACAGACCAGACATATACAACAAACTATGATGCTAAGTAGTAAGTTTCAAAGCCAGAGGTCTGTTTTACTCTCAAGAGGGATTCTTCCTTATGCCTCATATCTCACTGGCTGCCATGCTGTGTCTACCCAACTTCTTACAATGCTTTTGAAAGGGAGTCTTCTGTTCTCTGCCACTACATAGTACAGGGCCTCGTCTTCTGCTTAGGTTACTGCAAAAATCACCTGCTTGGTTCTCCTTCAATTTATCCTGTATACCTCTCCAAAAGAGATCTCCTAAAAATGCAAATATTACCTTTTCAAATTCACAACTTTCAGAGTCAGATTCAAATTCCTGTATAAGCATGAAGAGGTCTTTGAGAACTAGGCCAAGTCTCTGCAGTCTCCTGTCCTGCCTGCCCATAGGCACCCTGCGCTGCAGGTACTCTCTGGATGCACAACCCGGGTAACCTGTATCTGCCCTTTAGATTCACCCTGTGTCTTCTTACAAATGTAGGTCTGGAATGTAGGACTGTAATCTAATCCTACACAGACTGCAAAGCACAGAGTAAACATTATTGCCTTTGTGAAACTTCTCCCCACCTCCATTCCCTGCAATCTAAGTCAGATATCTCACTTCCATATACAGAAGCCTGTCTGTCCACATACCACAACACCTATCTCACTGTCTGATAATTGGTCTGCTTTTCCATGTCCTCCACCGGATTGATTATAAGGACATAGGCAGTAAAGATTATGTCTTTTAAATAGATAGATTCATGCTATGGCAGTACAGATGATGGATGGAATGAGGGAACAGATACATATTATGTTTGCACAAAGTCATTATTCTGGCTGGGAAACAGGGAGGAAGGCAATACAGGGTCACATTTAAACTTGTCCTTGAAAGATGAGTAGGAATTTTCCAAATGAATGCATAACTTGCTTCTCATTTGCACAAACAAATTAAGATAGTGCTAAATGCTAAATTAAGTACATTAGAAATTTTGATTTGTATAGAAGACTAGGACTAAAATGTAGGTAATCTAACTAGCATCTTTATTTGTAATATACATGGACATAATGATCTGGATGCCAGCTTAATTATACCATGTTGACTATAGAGCAAGTCATCTTGCTTGCCCTAAATAAGCCAGTTCTAATTTTACCTTATCCATAGCTACATAAATTCAATTAAACTCTGTTCTTACTAAGACAGCTGCTTTCAAAATTTAATAGGGTTATTTAGGAAACTAAGTGAATTTCATGATAACCTGTATACTACATCCACAAACTAAGCAAAGGATAACAGAAAAATAAACACGAACAATTCAAACTTCAATTTTAAATATTATTTCAGTTGCTTTTCCTCCCCTCCTTTAATACCATATACTTTAACATAATTTAGCAGCTTCTGCTTCTGCTTACAATAGTAAAAACAAGGTGAGTCAACTTCTGAGGGTTTTGTATGCTGAGGTCTACAGCACCACCTTAGGAAATCAACTTTGATAGTTGTAAAAACTGATGGCATCTCACATTAGAAAGCATATTGAGAATGCTTTTTCAAATTATGAAACTTAATGCAGTAACTATATTATTAGTCATTCCTTTATGTATGTTCATAGTGTAATTAAGCTCTTTTGGGTCACTTCATGCATGGACATTAACAAAAAATACCATTACACAGTACCAGAACCCTTTAGTGACCTCTTTTGCAGTTTCAATCTAGAGTGAAAACAGAAGCAATGTTTATGAGTTGTGAATTTAAAACTTAAAACTAAAAAATATAGCAGGCCAGAATGCTCAACAAGTACTGAGGCTTATCTACTTATTTTGTTCATGGCTTACTTTTGATTTCAGGACTTCAGAAACTGGAGAGAAGTAATCCTCATAGGAGCCATTTTGAAGAAAAGATTTTTTAAATTGAATCGTAGACTGCAGGAGCCTTAAATTTTCTGTAAAAGAGGGGGGAAGAGTTACCTTATATGAATTCAAGGTCACTTAGGAAACCCATTTGAAAGACATCTTTGTCCTAATTTATTACTAAGTTTTTCAAAGATAATAGTCTATTTGATCTAAATATAAGATAAGTAAAAATTTGCCCTTTCCTTGAACTATGAAGACTACAGAGATCATTATTTTAAAAATATTCTTAGAGATAAAAATATTTCCAGTGAAATAGTACTATTGGCTTAGCTTTTTGTGAGTTATATAGGCTTCTATTTCTGATTTTTGGATAGACTATTAAGTTGAAGTGTTTGGAGGAGAACAGGCTATATAGTCACTGCTACAAATGTGCTTTTCCAACCTTGATTATTTCATGCTTGCTGAAGAGACCAAATTTAAATATTGGTTGTGCTATTTATTTGCCATGAAATCTAAAACACACACACACACACACACAAAGCTGTTTTGGTGTTGGACATTCCTAGAAAACATAAGAAAAAAAAACAGAAAAAGAAAAGAACATTTGCTTAAATGCAATCTTCATGACTGCTTATGTAGGCAGAAAGTTGAATATAAAGTGTGTAAGAGTTGGAGGTAAAAGTACTCTGCCTCCAAATTTCCTTTGCGTATGTAATTTACATCTGCTTTTAGAAGCCTATGTTATCATTCTTCATTACTTTTTGAAATTAAGATTATCGAAGTCATGAAATGTCATGAAGGGTGTTGTGCCTCCTGATGACGCTGGACACTTGGAAAGTTAGGACACCTCTTGCCCATGATGTGGCCATTCCACCTGCTTGTGCAGGTGGAGCAGTAGCAACAAATTTAATAGTGTAATGAATAATTATTAATATTCAAAAATATTCATCAATGGAAACAGGTGTTTTATATTGTTTTTTTTTTTTTTAAGATTTATTTATTTGTGCATACAGAACTGGGGTATAGGCCAGAGGCTCAGGGGCAGTGAGAGGCTTCACCAGAGACAAGTGGGGAGCAGAACAGGCAGATTGATGAAGTTCACTGCTGAGGGGAGCAGTGGGCGGGTCAGGAGAGGTCTGCCACGCCATGTGGTCACCTCCAGGGCAGGCGGGAATCAAACTCATGCGGTAGTGGTTTCAGCTTCTTAGTGCAGTGCTTTAACCCGCTGCGCCACCAGGCAGGGCCTACACTGTTTTCTTTTTTAAACCAGCATCTCAGAAGACTTACTACATTAGAACAGAATGCGAAACCATGAGCAGCATTTTAACCAGTAAGAAGAGCATTACCTTGTGATCCCCTGGCCAAATTGTCAGTGACATTTCTCACACATGCCAAGTAAGGAACGTAAGGACTATCAGCTGAGATATTTAGGATGGCATCTTCAAAGTTTTCCAGTATTAGGAGCCTGTGGAATTAGACAGACAGATATAAAGCAGCCATAGAAATATAAAACTAGTCGTTTCGTTAAGATCACTGGAGTCGCTGGGAGTTGCACTGGGTGACTTGGGTATTAAATGCAGTGAACTAGGACCTCTCCCCTCACTCAGCCCAGCTACCCCTTGGCAGTGCTGCTCTGGATATACTGGGCACATGTCTTTGCCATGGCATTATCTTTGCATCTAATTAGTTTAATAACCAATCACAAGTGATGTTAAGAGTATTTCTAGACATATTTATATGAAGGGGAAAATCACTGGTTGGGGTGCCAGATGAAATTCAGTACTCCCACTTAAATGTGGATTTGAATGAATAATAATTTCTCAGCGTAAGTGTATCCTAGGAGTCTTATATATTTTTTTGGTCATTTTTCTTTTTTCTTTCTCATTGGAGCAACAACCCTCTAAACTTCAATTTCTTCTGTCAAATGAGAGGTGGGAGCTAAATGATGTTGTCTATTTGTAACAGTCCCTAAGTAAATTTAAATTCATTTCATTGTGATTAAAAAGAAATAATGGAAATATGGACGGATTCAAGTTCCTTTCTTTCCTTTAAACAACCAATTCAGTGTTCCCAAATTAACTGCTTTCTGGTTTCTTTGTGGTGTCCTGGCATGAAAGGACACAGCCTTAGATTTTTGAGGCAGATGTGTGTGAATGAGTGAGTAAACAGTGTGTGTTAGGTACGTCTTGTCACTTCATCTGTGGGCCTGCATTCTGATTTATTTTGTAAATTCTTTGTGTCTCCCATTGAGTTTTATGTACAGTAGTGCTAGAATAAATGCCAGTGGCTGATTCGGGGACCATCTGCTTTGATTCAAACTGCACAATACACAAATCAACTGATCATATCAGATGTGTAACTTAGATTTTATTCAAATATTAGTGGAAGAGACTTACCCTGTAATAGCTAGTAAACACATAGAAATATGTTTGCATCAACAATAAAGAAGTCTCAAGCCTTTTCAGATGAACATGAAGAACATCATACACTTGAGGAAATTTAAAAAGAAAACACAATTTATGCCAAGAAAAGTCTCCAACTTAGAGTTAGAGCACAGGCATATGGTTAGATGGCTGATCCTCATTTAAAAGAAATTCATAGCTGCCATAGTTAAAAAAAAAAAAATAGCTACCCATTCCCAAAGTCTTCTTGCTTTTACTCAGGTATTTCCTTGACCAGAAACTTAATGATTTTGTATTTTGTATTCAATTGTCTTAGACTTTTGGACTCATTTTTTGTCAAAGATTGCTTGAAGGGAATCAATACCATACATCAATTCTAAATGAAGGAGCAGAGACTATTAAATTACTGGCATGAATAAAATAAACCATCATGGAAATTTCTAAATCACATTTGAATAGTTAAAAATCAACAGTTGTACAATAGATGACAAAATCAGCTGCCTTGTGTAGGCTAATCATTTTATATTGTCATACCAGCAGATAGCTAAGCTTCAAGAACTAGTACAACCTATGGTGGCAGAGCTTCTAGAAATGACAGATGCATCTACAAGACCATATTAAGACAATATGGTCAAATGTTTTGACATAAACAGTAACTTGAATCATCTTGAGTGAAATGGGGAGCTATCTTCAAAAGATCTTAAGGGTAAGTGGGAGAAGGGATTTGGGAATCCAAAGCATTAAAGAAGAGATGTGAAATTATGGAAATAATGATAAATTTACTGCATCTATTTTCTTTGGGGAGGAATAATCCACTCATTTTATTTGGCTGTAGCAATAATGATAGATCACAAGATAAATTTGTTTCTCTTATGAGCAACCTGAAAGAATGACCAACCTAATTTTGTATCACATTCTTTGTTCACCCCAGACTCTGTTCCCATCTCAGAATATCTAGCACTTGTGATTTATGCATTATATGCTTGTGTTAATAGTTGTTGAAAGGATGACTACCCAGTCAGGGTATGAGACAGCAGGTGCTAGAAAGATGTTGCCATTTATCTGAGAAGCATCCAATGAGGTCTGGACTGGGACAAGTGGAAAGGAGGCTTTCCCTCTCTCCACCTTGCTCTTTCTTAGCACATTGCTTTTCTTTCTATCTTTTTGTTTGTCATCCTCTTAGTCATAGTTACTACAGCAGAGAGTCACTGCTCGCTCAGTGCAGTAATCAATAGCAAAATATTGGCTTAACCTTCCAGATGGAACTACACAAGAGATCCTCAGGGTGAGTTTTCAAGCATAAAATAGAGAATCGTTGGCTTGGTGAGCACTTTCAATAGCATCGAAATCATTTTAAGACACCAGGTTTTAAAGACTGGATTTCATATAATCCAAAATTAAAGATTCTACACATTTTTGCCATTGTTTTGACATAAGCATTCAATTATCTTTCAAATCATTTAATTTATGTACACTTCATATGTAATGCTACTTACTTCCCAGATGTACCTACATATATGTTGTGTGCACAAGTATGTACATATGTGTGCGCATACAAAACAACAAAAACAATGACCTTAGCACAAAAAAAAAAAGAAAGAAAGAAAGAAAAGAAAAGAAAAAAATGATGGAGAAGGAACTATGGGGTGAAAATATTTTTGAGTAGCTTTCTTTGAAAAATTCCAGATTAAAAAGTTTTATGCCAAGTATTACCACACTGATTATTTTAAAGTAGGAATGGAACAGAAGTCCAATGACAAGAAATCCCTTAATTCATCACTCAACAAGAACCATCTTGAAAGTATTGAATTCTTCCTAATAAACTGTCAGCTAACTGTCAGCAACTAACTACATTTGTGGTGGAATTTGCAGGTCTGAAGCACTAGCATTATCAAGGCTATAGATGCCTCAAGGTGCTGATAAAGACGACTGGTTTCAACAATAAACATTTATTTGTCTCAATTCGAAGGTTTTTTAAAAAATATTTTTGATGGCTATGTAGGGAATGTGTTTAAAATATCTAACTATTTGGAACAGGGCATCTTGGCTAGGGAGTATTTTCCCAGCCTGCTCCACTGCCCTGAGAGAAGCACCTGGACCAGATGCCTTACAGGAGAGAGTAAGTTGTAAAAACAGGTGGTTGTTTAAGGAAGGATTTTGCCTAGAATTTGTTTACTTACTTATTTACATAAATTTCCATCAGCACAAATATGTACTTCTACTTATTTGAAATATTCAAAGTATTTCAATAGTAATGTTTCTCAAGCCAAAGCAACCTTTATATGGCATGCCATTTAGTTTCCATATTTGCCTTGAAATACAGAAATTTACTTTGAATCAGCTTTGGTAGTTAACAGTCTTTTTATTGCCATCTTACTACAGTTACTTCAGAAAGATGCTTACATTTCTGCTCCTTACCAGTCAAGGCTGCTATTGTCATTTCCCTGGCTATTCTTGGGACTTCCAGTAAGAGTCCATAATTAAATTACCTATAAGCAACGTTGCTTACCTGAACAACAATGAAGCAAACAAATTTAATGTTGCCCATACTGGGCCTAAGAAACATTTTATCTTAAAAACTTGAAATAAACAGTATGAAAAATTGGAGGCTTATAAATTTTTCATGATGAAAGAGCTTAAAAGCAATGTGACCAATAGCCATATCTTCCTCATAGTCGTAATCAGTACAGGCAAGACCCATTTATCCAGTTAGGCAATCTTAATTCAGGAAGCTATCCTTATGCTGAATTCTCCAGAAGTATCATTGACCAACAGAAGGAGACTGGTCTATTGCTGAATGATTTTACTCATACATGGAGCCCAAATAAGCAATAGAAAGAAACAAATAAAACCAAAACAAAACAAACCCTCAGAAGCTAACTGTAAAACTGAGGTTCCTAGAGTGGGTAGATGGGATGAGGGCAAAGGAAGGAAAGGGAGAACTAATAACCTTCCCAATGGACTATGGTGGAAGGTTACTGGTGCTTCAGTGGTGGGTGTGGTATGGTAACACACCCTGGCAGAGGTGTGAAGTTATCCTTCTAAAACATATGCAGTATTGCAAACCAACATTACCTCAATAAAACATATTAAAAATCCATGAGTTTAATTAAATATTATTTTTGTTAAAAATAACAACAGTGCCATTGACTTTTACCAAAAAATAACTTTCAGCTTTATTATACTTCACCTGTGTCCTTTGGTTGGTTCATCAATGGTTGACTTTTCTATTTTTACACACTGATAAAAGAGTTATGATTATGAATTATTTGGATTGCTTAGTCAGCCATGTAAATTACCAACAATAAACCAGTAACAATAAAAGGAATGACTTACTGTGCAGCCAGGCTGCTTGGAGATAGGGACAGGCTGCCGGCCTCACTCCACACATGTGTTGTGTTATCGGAGACCCCTGCAGCAATAACATCAGATTGATCAGCATTTAATCTGGTTGCTTAAAGTCTATTTTTGTCAGCAAAAAGCATCCCAGGCCAAATTAATGAGGAGAAAAAAGCAGAAAATTTGCATATTTTTCTTCAAAGGATATTACAAAAAATGTATATGCTCTCATTGGAAACATTTAGGGCATTTATAGGAAATAAATGCCTAATAATCAAAACAATCTCAATGGTCAAGTACATATGTTTCTAGCATATTCTTTCTCCAAATATAAAAGCATCCATTATCCTAGCCTAACACCTGTCTGTATATACATCTGTAGTCTATCCTAAGACCTGTATGACTCTTGAATATATAATGCAGCCTGACTAGCACAGGATTTGTTAATAAATGAAGGAAACTTGAAACTGATGAGTCACTGGATTTTTTTTTTTCTTCTTTGCCTTCTGTTGTCTAGGATGTAGCCTTAGGAAGCATCTGCCATCACTAATCTATATTTTCCAGCTTTCAAAAAGGAGCTATACTGATTTCTACTGAAGGTGGCTGTGAATATAAATCAGTTAATGTTAACAGAACTGTTCTGAATGGTCTCAAGTGACAGGAAGGTTTGGCGTGTGTAAGGCAATCACTAAGTTGGGTTTAAATGAAAACCATATGTGAAGATCTGATTCAACTCTGTGAATTGTCCTAGGTCTCTGATCCCGCTTGCTGCACAATACTGGTATAAAGGAATGAGTATGCCACAGCAATTACTTGAAAAACTGCAACTTGAAATATCGAAAACTACTTTAGATGGTCACTGCATAAATAAAAACATCATAAATACAACACTTTCATTTGGACCTTTTAGGGAAAGCAGTTCCACTTAGTTCAGTCTTCTCTTTAGACACTACTTACTCCTTGTAAATAATCTAGTATGTTTCAGTGCTGTCATTTCTAACATTAGCCTGATCATTTTCAGTAGGACTTTTTATTACCAGCTTTAGCAGTTTTCCCATTGTCCTCAGCGTGTCTTAAAGCCCTCCAAGGTGGCCCTAGCCTGAAATTATGAAATAAAAATCATTGCTAATTTTCTGGTGTTGAGTGTGTAGTTTACTTAGATTAGCTTTACTCACAGAAATACAGACCGAGTCTACGTCTGTATTAGTACTGTGTAAGCCACACTGGAACCGTAACTATTGGTCAGTGGAGTGATTTCTGCAGTTCTGCTATTCAGCAGAATAGTGGTGTAGCCGAGTGTTCTTGCTTTGGCAATAGCGGTCTTCTGTGAGTTAGAGGACCAAGGATGGAGATATGTGACTAAATAATCCTAATTAATAGTAGTTATTATTTGTTGGCATCCATATCTGGAATAATTGAGGATAAAACTATTGACATTTATGCGTTTGCAAAGTAAAAAAAAATTTCCCAACATCAAATCTTGCTCACTTTGAACTTCCAAGTGATGCTGAAAGTTAATTAGCATTTGTATATACATGGGTATGGAATTTCTCTTCCTCATGAAGCTATTAAAGTGAGTAAGTATAGAAATTAACTTTGTACATATCAATGACCAGCTTGACCCTGTTATGTAGGGTTTTTCCCTCTGGCCATTTTTCCTTCTGGATATAAAGTATCGTGGAAGAAATACTAGTACTAACTAGGTTTTAATGAAATGGAAAAGTTAGACTTTTAAAAGATGTATTTTACTTTTTTCATTTGTAGAAATGTCTACTTAAAAATGGTACCCAAAGACATAGCAAGAATACAGTGCTGATAACCTCTTTTCATCGGTGAGAATGACTTTCTATTTAAAGATGTAATTTCCTGTAATTTACTACTTTCCAAAAGAGTACACTTGAGTGAGTCACATAGGTAATCTCTGATCTCAAAAATCAGTGTTTATAAATGGAAAAACTGAAGTGTATTAAGTGTGAAGAAGGGATCTTAGCTGGGGCAGAGCTGAAAAAAACACCCCTTAAGAAAGGAAGTCAGGAGACAGCCTTCCTTCCAAGGATTTAAGTTTCTGCAACACCATGATCACTCAGGAGGCTTCTGAAGAAATCTTAGGGTGCATCAGAACCAAGGTTAAACCATAGCTAGTCATGGGCTGAGGAAGGTTGCAGAAATTAGAGGAAAGGGGAGATGGCTGGAGAAGACTAAAATGCGGGGAAGAATCGGTTGCAATGAGTCCAAGTCCACCTATGGCTCAAAGAGGGAGCCTTTCTGAGGTTGGGTGGTAGCAGGTGCTTGCGTAACCTCATGAGACTTCCTGGAAGCAGATGAATAATGCCCAAGAGAGCAGATGTGTGAGAGGCAATCTAAAAAACAGCTCAACAGAACTGGCTTTGGGGATAGATAGGTACAGGTGCCAATCTGAGTTTGGCCACTTGCTGGATGCATAACTGGTGACATGCCCAGCTTCTCTATGCCTGACTCTGCCTGTAAAATGGGATAATAGCTATGTCAAATTGAGATTTTGTTGATAAAATGGATTTAAGATAAGCAGTCATTATTGATGGGGGGCAGAGACCCCTGTACTGTTGAACTTGGGTCACTTGTTTAGCCTTCATTAGCAGGTTTGCATACCTGAAGTATTCCCAGAAAGAGCTGGAAGGATTTACCAAAGGACATAAAATTTCTGTCCATGTAGGTAGGGACTTGAAGTTAATGACTTTTAGGAACTGACATTAATGCTCCAGTACTGGGATTCTCACACTGATGGAGTCATAAAGGTAAAAAAAATTTGAACAATTAAGCACACCATGTTTTATTAACACACTTCCTTGTCATCTTGAACATCCAATGAAATATTTTAATACATGCCAAGATCACCAGTATCTGCATAGTGATGAGACACACAGCCATTGTTAAGTACTGAAAATACAGAGTTATATTGTTCACCAGGAGAAGTGTTTTGTTGTCTCAGTTAATATGAAGTGCTACTTAATTCTCTGGCTTTGAAGGAACTGATTAGCTTTTGTCCTTTGGGGAAAAAAAAAATCTAACTTTATCCCTTTACTTTATATAATTATAAGGTGTGAATCTGAAGATGAAAGGAAAAAGAATGGTTAGAAGCTGTAAGTCTTTAGAGTACAAGTATAAAAATACAGAGGAAATAATTAGTGTTTGTTAGTACATAGTCTGGTTTTCCAGCCTGGACATTGTCTTTTTAAAGAATAAGACTTTTTTTCCTAATGTTCATCAAGACCATTAAATTTAACAACAGTCTTGCAAGTTTAGTCATTAATTCTATAATTGTAGATGTAAAGAATGCTCTGAACTAACAGAAATTGGTATCTAAGAATATATTCAACCCTCCAGTGAGAATACCTTAAAGCTTTAACAAACGGCTTTTTCTATAAAAACTAATAATTTAAGAACTTATAATGAACACTCAACTTGTGACCAATGCTCTCAGGATACTTATTTTGTAATAAATATATAAAGTCTAGACACTTAAAAGCTCACAGACTCAGTTGAGAACATTCTAAATTGATTCAGGAAAGTAAATGCTAACCAAATATCTTACTTGGGAATAGAGATTTACTCTTTATAGCTCTATATCTTTGTGCATTTCCATATGGGTAGCATATAGTGCTATGCTCTAGATAGAAAGCTGACATCTGCCAGTTCACTAGCTATGTGCCCACTGGCTTTACTGGGCTTGAAAGCACATGATCACCTTCTAGTCATGCTCTGATGTCCAGCAGACCTTTTCAAGATGGCTGGTTGAGGGTTATATTTTTTAACAATGAAAGATTCATCCTTAAAAAAATTCATCATAAAAAAGCTAAAGGTGGCCTCCCTGGTGGTGCAGCAGGTTAAAGTATAGCACTAAGAAGCTAAAGTCACTTCAGCATGAGTTCATCCCTGCCCTGTAGATGACCCACATGGTGCGGCAGACCTCTCCTGGCCTGCCCGCTGCTCCCCTCAGCAGTGTACTTCATCAGTCAGCCTGTTCTGTTCCCCACTCTGTCTCTGGTAAATCCTCTCACTGCCTCTGCAACTATGGCCTGTACCCCAGTTCCGTATGCATAAATAAATAAATTAATCTTATTAAAAAAAAAAAGCCAGAGGTGGGAAAATGAGGGTAAAATACTGCAACTCAGTGTAAGCTTTTGTTATAAAAAGTAGTGGAAGAAACCTATTTCTTGAGGCATATTCCCTGATATTTCTTCCCCATACCAAGTATAATCACAGTTTTATATGCTAAAAGAGATCACTTCACCTAAATAAAAATCTTAGAAAGTCCCAGACACTTTTCTAGCTATTTCTTTCTCCATGCTTTGATTAGCTAGAAATTCAGATTTAGAAATAGTATGGCCCTGCCTAAGAATAATATCCATAAATGATTACTTTGGTGGCTCTGTTTTATATTTCTAACAGGCTCTGTGACACAAAATTGATAAAGTGAGATGGAAATATAATACCTTGAGCTGGGGAGTCCAGAGTGTACAGCAGATGTGTAACAGATTTATGGAGAGTTCGGAAACCCTCGTTAGTTGTGACATGCGGATAAACCTTCTGTACCATCAGCAGCACACTAAACAGTGGAAAAACAATTAAACCAGATTGTACTGCAAGGTTTGTAGACAGAAACAAAAGGTTATTCAAGGAGAAAATGGTTACAGTATAGAAAATTATTCTTAAAACATAATATAACATAAAAAACAAGATGTTGCTTTTGTCACCTAATTGCTTGTTTGTCTGTTCATGCACAAGATCCCAGCAAAATGTTCCTGCACCTGTTTCCAGGATTCTAAAGCCTTGGAACTCAAAGGTCTTAGAGAAAGGGAGCTAAGTTTCCATCAGTTGTTTCTATTGTGACTAGAAATAAGTGGTTAGGAACAGGTGCTTCCAATGAAAGGCTTTATCTTTTTGTTTTTAATTAAAGGGAAAAATTAAATATTGGAAATTATTTGCATTAAAAATAAAGTCCAGATAAAGAATCATCTCAGGAATAGTACACAAATATTTAGTGATGAATATTTATCTTTTTTTAAGCAAATGGTAGTGATGGGGAGGGGGAGGAGAAAGGGGCTTATTCTAACTGAAAACTGCATTTTCTCCCTAAGTAGGCCCTGGGCACTAAGTCAGGGTAGCTCAAAATTAGTGTCTAGACTTAATGTTACGGTTCCCGAGGGATGAGGATGTACACCCAGAAAATTCCCCTTGCTTGAATTCATTCCATGTCTTCCCCACAGCTATCCATTGTTTCCGAAATGTCTTTTTATCAAGTTTTTGCTGTAAGAATTGAAGGACAGTCTTCCCCACGATGTCAAGAACTGGTGTCCCTGTGCCCCCTTGGCAGGTGGGTTATTTTGAATGAAAACCAATCTACCAATGAAGGCTCTACCTGTTTCAAAAGAAACTTAGCATTCCTGAAGAACAAAGATGGTGAACTCATGCAGATTTAGAGTTTATCTTCAGAAAAACTTCCCATTGAAGAAACCTCTCAAGGTGGCAGGGCAAATATCTCCTTACAGAACATCTACTTTTGTCATGTAAGTCACTATCTTCACTCCTGAAGCCCAGACCCCTATCTCATTCCTCCTCAGTATAAACACATTGTGTTGTCCTATTTACTATTTAGATGTAAATTCTTCAAATGTATGAAATTAAATTGGTTCTTTCTTCCTACTTATCAGTCTGATGTTCATTTCATTGTTCAACTAGCCTAGGAAGAATTCAGAGGGATGGAAGGATATATCCTCTCTGCCCAGACAACATGTTAAAAAAAAAAATTAGCATTGTGCATCTGACTTATACAAATATGGTATTTATATCAACGGTCAAGGATGAGTGGGTGCTTTCCTTGATAGTAGCTAGAACGAAAGGCTTTGTTAATGATTTGCTATTGTGATTTTAAATGTAGTACAAATAAATTATCTAGTTGTCTTCCCTAGCCCACTGAAGGCTCATTCCAGCAGTCTGTGCCTATATTTGCTTGGTGTCTTCAATAATATTGTGGAATTTCAAAAGTTTACATTAAGATAGTTTTAATTTTAGCTCCCTAGATATGAACGAGAGTTATTTAGAGGCCTAAATTTTGATTTCCTCTAGTTAGCTTCTAATATTTTAGTCAGGTGTGTCATGTGTAGGTGAATATAACTTTCAACACATAAAACGTTTTCTTTAGTTCTCTAATAATTCCATGAAGTCAATTGTACTTGCTCTGTTTTGCAGATGGGAAAGCTACATTTGAGAATGTTAAATAAATTACACAAGATTATTCAGTGAGTAATCACTACAGTTGCTTCTGTCTAATTGCAAAGTTCATATTCTATCCATTCTATTCCTTACCTGTGCCACAGAAACCCTGCCCCAACTTGAGGAGGGAGGGATGAGGCAGAGCTTTCTGACAGAGCCCAAAGGCATTGTTAACTGCTACTTCTGCTGTGTGTTTAGCCATAGGGCATGAATTTTTTTTTAAATTTCTGTTCTCTATACCTGACAGCTGATACCTCAGGCATTTTTATATTTACCCTAAGATTCTCCACATGGCCAGATTTTGGGTTGCTGCTGAACCATGGTGGCCATAGAGATCAGTTAAAAGATCTCAGGTCATAGATCTCTGACTGGCTCCTCTCTTGTGACCTTCTGCCTGACTCATCTGAGCTGGTACACCAAAGTTAATGTCTTGGCGATCTCATTAAAACTGAATGTGCTGATTGCCTATCCCTAGTGTAGCCTGAAGGTCTCACTGGTAACAACTTCCAAGAAAAAGTGCCAGTTCATCTGGATGTTAATTTCAGTTACCCCTGCAGGATGCTTCGTTAAAACTGTCTGCATTGCTGTTAGTGACTTTATTAATAAAATGCCAGTAGACTTAATTCATCTTCTTTTAACAAAATATAATGTAAAATAACTATACCTGTCCCCTATCCTCTCTAAAACATTTTGAACCACTGATCAAAATATTTTCATTTCACATCATGGACTTTTCCTGTTCTTCATCATATAAAAAGGGAAGTTATCACAAAACAAGCCATTTCTAAGTAAAGGTAATTGTAAAAAAAAATTCCTAACTAATATCTCAACATAGTTTCTTCTTCATAAATGGTGAAAACCTTCCTTATTCATATATTTTTCTTGCTTCAAATTTTTGAAAACTTTGAATAGCTGCTGGAAGAAAGGATGAAAATGTTGTGGGTCCTGCATCTGTAAAGCTTGTTCAACACAGAGTGGTGGTTTGTATCACTAATGCTATAATTACTCATGTAACCACTTTGCTAATAAGATCTAAAACATTTAGATAACTCAGAAAGTTTGCTTATGCTCCCAACTTGTCCTGTCATCCACTGATCTGATTTCTAACACCATAAATTAATTTTGTTGATTTGAGAATGTCACATAAATGTAATAATATAATATTTACACATCCAGTAAGTAGTATTTTTGTTTGTTTGTTTGTTTTTGGTGTGTATTCTTTTGACAGCATAATATTAACTATTTTTTTAAAATGTTATTGTGTGATTCAGTAATCTGTTTTTTCTTGTTGAATAGAATTCCAATATATGGATAAAAAATTTCTATTATTTTGTTTATTGGGACTTGTTTTTTCCCAATGCATAGCTGATAGGAACACATGCACAGCAAACATTAGCATGCAAGTCTTTATGTGGGTATATAAGCTCAAGAGTAGAATGCTATGTTATATGGCTCTACTGTCATAAATAGCAGTCATGGCTGCCAGGAAGGTGACCCACATGGCACAGCAGACTTCTCCTGACCTGCCTGCTGCTCCCCCCCAGCAATTTATTTCAGTGGATCTGCCTATTCTGCTCCCCAGTCTCTCTCTGTTGAATCCTCTCACGCCCGCACCTCTGGCCTGTACCCCAGTTATTACATGCATAAATAAATAAATCTTCAAAAAATATAATAGCAGTCACAATTTCCAAAATATTTCTACCACTTTACACTCTAATTTGCAATGCATGAGCATTCCATTTGTTCTATACACTTGTCACAACTGGAGACTGTCCATCTTTTAAAATTTTACCCAATCTAGTGAGAGTGTACTGATATCTTATTGCCTGAATACTGTTTTAACTCTTCTCTTTGCTACATTATACAATTCAATCCACTCTCCTTTTCTTTAAATCAATTTACCTGTTTGCTTCCTAAGACAGACGTTAAATAGAAGGAAGAAGATAAACTACTAAAATTCTGGGTTAGGGAAAACTTCCCTACAAGCTAAACTGAAGAACAATCTAGAGAATCAAACTTCCTAACATCTTCCCCTTTTGTAATTGAGTTGTTGCGGGTTCTTGTGGGAAGAGCTCAGGACTTGGGTTCAGAGTCCTTGAGTACATGTCCTGGCTTTGCCACATAGAAACTCAGGGAAGTCATTTGATTTTAATAAGTTTTTTTTTTCTTTGATAAAATGAGAATATAGGTTTTCTCAATCTCTAACCTCTGTTGTGAGAATCAAATGAATTAATATTTCATCACAAGGGCTTGGAACAAACATAAACTCTTGGAAGCTTTCCAAAGAAGATGAGAACAATCTCTTTTGGTGCTTCTGATATCAGAGATGGAACATGTCACATTACTAGTGATGTATTAGAGAGGAAACCTGGGTTCTGGGGCTGGAAAACGCTCTCAGTTCAAACCCTCTCAGTTGCATAATCATCAAATTATTTTTTATGACCACCTGTTACCTCATTTATAAAAATTTTGTAAGATTCAATGTGATAAGTACAATATAAATGGCATCCAGAAAATATCTGTTATGTCATAGGCATTCAGTAGTTGTTAATTGTTGATGTAACTGCTGCTGTCTTTAATACACATTCCTAAATTAGCTAGACAGGACAGTAAAAATCTAAATATGAGTCCATTGAATCCTAAGTGCTGGACATGCTTGGATCTCTTTAAAGGGATTTCCCTGCAAAATTCTTTAATTTTTTGTGTCTCTAAGTCAAACAAAGCAAACTCAAATACAGTCTTAGAAAGATCATTTATAGATTTGCTGTATGTGTCAGGGAAGCCAACTTCCTTGAGGTAGCTTAATGCAAGACTATAACCAACTGTTTTGTTTTATATTATTTGGCACCGTACAAAACCAATGGGACATTTTCTGCTCAAGATGTTTAAATGCTAGCTGCACAGAGCTCTGCTTGTTCCTGAATGAGTCTGACCACGTTCTAACCTATAACTGGTTCTGCTTACACCTTTCTCAGGTGCTCTGGGATACTAAGGACCAACATTAGTGCTCCTCCTTACTTCCGATGTACACTTCTATAACCCTGATGACCACAGTGTGTGTTTCTTCTTTGCTTAACTAGTCTACTCATTGCTAAAATTTCAAATAAAGTGTTGAAGGATCATTTGCTCTGTGTTTAAATAAATTACCTACCTACCAATGATCTCCATAGGGAATATTAAAGAAATAAAAAGGACTTTTTTAAAATAGTAATGTTCTACTTAATTCTGGCATTTTCTTACCTGTTTGCATGTCGAAGAACATCAAATAGATTATTCAGTGTTGTAGCATTCTGGAACACATTTGGAAAACTTGAGAGAAATTGCCACACAGCTGTCTTCTCTTGCATTTGTGAGAAGAAAGACAGTACTTTGACCATTTCCTGAAATACTATTTTCTGGTTGTTGGGATCATTTGACATCTTAAAAAATAAAAGCACAAGTAGAGCAAAATGAGACTTCAACATTTGTAGTCATGTGGCTTACTGGTTTTGAAAACATTAAATAGACCTAGATTTGCACATAAGCAACTCTTTCATACAGTTTGCAGACATCTTTTACTTGAAAAAATTCTAACCATTTCCAATGTCCTTAAACATAATTAGATTTTTTTTCCTGTACCAGAAGAAACTGGCATATTTAAAATATGGCTAATGAAGCTATATTTACATAAATATTTTAAATTGTATTTTTGGAAAATAAAATTAACTTTTTAGAATAAAATTTGTCTTTCCCAAGGACTTGGCTTAGGAGCTGCCAATAAATCTCTGTATCTATTAGTAGCTCTTGTGTTACTTGGGTGGAGAACCCTTAAAAGTGATGTATATGTACATGAAAATGTTTACTTTCTCAATTATACATACTTTATGCAATAAAATATTTCTAATGTTCTGTTGGAATACTAGGACCTTAAGTTATAATAAATTATTTAGTGAACCTGTATAATAACCACATTTTGTATTATAAACAAATTCTTGCTTTAGCTTTGGATTTTAGGACATAGTACTAGTATTTTCTTTTTTTAATTATTTAATATATTTTTAGTACTAGTATGTCCTGTATTCTATTCCTACTGAAAGCAATTTCATAAATTGATTCGTACTAGTAAAGTTTTCTTCTTCATACTAGTAAATTTTTTCTTCATACTAGTAAATTTTTTTCTGTCTTAATTCAAGCTCTTTCTTGGCGAGGACATAATTTTGAACAGTGTACACTCTATTTTTAAAAGATTTATTAATGCATAATATTTATGTAAGCCAGAGATGTGTGTGTGTGTGTGTGTGTGGGTGTGTAGGGGGGGAGGGTTGAGAGGGTTTACTGGAGGTGGACTAGGGAGCAAAACAGAAGGATCTATAGAAACACACTGCTGAGAGGGGCAGTGGGTGAGACAGGAAAGGTGAGCTGCCCCAGGTAAATCAGTGCCCTGGCCGGAGATCTAGCTCAGGTCACAGTGGCTAGTGATAGTTTGGCACCACCAGGGAGGCCCTGAACGATGTATTTTAAACTATGCATTCTACTCAACATAACTGCTGAGTTAAAAATTTTTAGTGCACTATATTGGGTGGAGTTCTAACAGTATCTTTAATCTGGTTAATTTGGAAAACCCAGGTTACTGACAGGTAATTTAGGCATCTGTACTTAATAAAAATAATTTACAATAAAATTTAGATACTCTAGGGGAAAAAGAGTAGAAGAGGAGATGTTTTTTCATTTCTATTTATAAAATGTCAAAACAATTTTAAGTATATTTCTGGTCTTTTATTGTACTGGGTTTCATCAATACAATCAATATGTTACTTTAAGACTAATACATAAAAGTACATTAAATATACTGTTCTTGGTTCTAATGCATATTTTGAGAAGGACATACTGTTTCATTAAAATCAATTTTCAAATTAGGTTTGATGTTAGTGAGAAAAATTAACACCTTCTGTTCTAACTTCTTAGAGTTATAAGGCTTTGATAGATTAATAACTAAACATATCTGAGAAATGTCACTTAAAGATATCAGAGAAAGAGGGGGTATATTGTATATTATCAAAACAATAACAAAGTCAATCAAATTAAAGAAAAAATCAAATTAAAGAGAAAGTACTCTATCTTCACTCACCATAGAGAGAAGCAATATTTCATCCACAAAGATGTGGTCACATTAACTACATTTGGATTCAACATTAAATTCATTTCCATCCCTCAAATTTAAATGGAAAGCAGAGTCCAAGTCAAAGAAAGCAAGTGGTATAGTCCAAATTCACAGTAATGTGTACAGAAGACTTGCTCTTTGACTAATGTTGAGTCATTTTGTGGACACAATAATGGAAACAGGGCCCTCTCTTAGGGCGCAATGGGTTCAAGCGCAGCACCAGGAAGCTTTCTGCAACCACCAGGGAGGTGACCCACATGGCCGCAGACCTCTCCTGACCTGCCCGCTGCTCTCCTCAGCAGTATACTTTGTCGATCTGCCAATTCTGTTCCCCACTCTGTCTCTGGTGAAGCCTCTCACCACCCCTGCACTTCTGGTCTGTACTCCATTTCTGTATGAATAAGTAAACAAATCTTAAAAAGAAGAAGAAGAAGAAGAATGGAAACAATACAGTTCCTTTTACTGTTTATGAGGTCTTATCATATTAAAATATTTACACTTACCTGAGAGAGCTCGTTTGTTAGTTCTTGGAGAGAAGATTCTAAAAGGGTCATATTGGACAGACAAAATTTGTTAAAAACATTTTTCCCTGCAGTGTTCCATGTGAAGGTGTAATCAGCAATATATCCTGGGTAGGTTTCACATAGTTTTCTTCGTATTTCTTCTGCAGTTGAATTTTGTTTTAACAGCTAAAAATGTATGTGAGAAGAGTGGGATAATAATGTTAGTAAGTACAGGTATTCAAGTATTCTAGTCTTCACAGTAGTGATTTTGAGGTCCCACTGTAGCAACTATTAAAAGAATAGTTTTACCAATTCGTAGGTTTAATTCATAGCTTTACCTAAGAGGGGCTGCCTAGCTGCTGTGTACATGGGGCATTTCTCATCACTGTTCTGAGTTAATTGATTTATAGGCACTTGAGTCATATGGTTTGCTTAACTGAATCTATTTCCTGACTCTGACCTGAGAACCTAAATGCACCAGATCTTTTCTAGCAAAAACCGAATGACTTAAAACCTGATTCTTTGTGACAATTCATGAGAAGTTGGCTGTGATCTTGGAAGAAGTCCAAAGATGAGGAACTTCACAGTCTATTCTTAAGACCAGTAAGAGCCGCATGTAAATCCAAATGTGGATTATGGTTCATTTACAAAGTTATTCTTTCATTTAAAAAGGAAAACACACTTGAAAAGTCATAGAAATATAGAATTATCAAGAGCAGTAATTGGAAATTGTTTTCATATTTTCACAGTACAGGCCTGTCATAGATTCAGCACTATCTTTAGCTATACTATTAATAACATTTATCATTTATTAAGTTGTTTTGATACTTACAAATTCAATTATGTTTCATTACAGTATTAAACAGATCCCTCCTAGCAATTCTTGTAACTGTGAGGGGAAAACCAGTTGACTTCATCTGCCCCTTAAGCTTACATCACAAAAATCTATGCTGTGCCTTTCAGTAACTCAACTTCTAAATGTAATGGAACAAGACAGAATTTTTCTTATTCTAGGATATACTACAAGTCCAGTCATTGAACCATATATATCTTTCCTAGCATTACATATAAACTAACACCATAATGATTTCTTTACTCGTTCTTGCAAGAGTTGTGGAAAGCAGTGAAGAGAAAGTGAGAGGAATCGAGAGATTGCTGACACAGGCATCAGTATGTTATCCTAATTTTTACATCCCTTCCCTGTTATGTACCTATACACAGAAATTTCATTTTTTATGTATCTACACTGGATACATGACTCTACTGCCTCACAGAATTCTGACATTTCATTCTATGTCAGAAAGAAACTCTGGGAGTTTCACTACAGTAAAGTAGCATATATTGAAGAATTTAACAGATACAAAACAATATGGTTTACTTCTTGGAGTCAATATAGAAGAAATACAATGAATCAAGTAACTATTTCTAGCTTATACATTAGCCTGACTGGGAAGGCTCTAGGCTGGAATCATCTGGGTAGATGGGGAAGGTAGGTTCCAAAATCAGACAAGGAGCTTTAGGTACTTCAAATATTATATAAACTCAAGATCTAGGCTGGACTGTCTAGGAAAGCCTTATATTTCAGTTAGCACTGGAAGAAATTCCTCAAGTACAGTGCATTTTGCCAGCATACATTCTTGTGTTGTTCTTGAACTTATTTACATAAATCAAATTATTGATATTCCTCATTATACAGAATGTTAATTCAAGGGTCACTAACAGGGACATTTTTCTAACTGAGGCATATTAACAATAATGTTTATAGTTACTGGAATACAAAAAAAAAGGTCAGAGGTATGTCCTTATGATTCAGATAGAAGAACTATATTAAGACATGATATAAGACATGGATAGATTATTTAAAATGTTTGAGGGGGGAAATGCAAAATGTTGAAAAATTTCTTAATTCTTGAGACCAGTGAAATAACTTAGATGAACCTTTTTCCAAGGTCCTCAGGAATGAAGCAGCAAGTTTGATGAGCATAACAACTTCATTTTCGTGCATGAAAGACAATAAGGAAGATTGTAGGTAACAGAAAAGTACTTGTTCTTCCTAAAGGCATCAAATTTAGTTTCTTAAAATCCATGTATGTGGTGGCACAGGGGTGATTTGGTGATGGGAAACCCGTGGGGATTACAATGGAGATGAAAAAAAAAATGTGCAAAATGATGTAAAAATAAACTTTAAAAAAAAATCCATGTATGTGTGCATATTCATATAAATATACACACTGTCAGTTTTCGTCTGATAGAAATATTTATTATTTTGCAAACTGGGAAATCTTAAAGTGGATTACTAGTAAATAGAAAAAAAATCCACAGGGTAATCTGTTTAAGATATGCTAAGGAAGAGGATTTTACTACTTAGGGGAGATACTTCTGTAGTTCTAATTTTTCCAAAGGTCCTCAGGATGGATGAGGTAACAAGTTTGATGAACACTACAACTTCATTTTCTTTCATGTAGCTTTTCTTCTTCCCTTCCTCAGCAAAGTAAAAGAGCACATATAATGCCACCCTACTTCCTACCAAAGGAAAGTCTTAAGTTTGATGAAGGGACTTGAAAGAGAAGTAAATAAATATTTAACATGTAAAGGGATTCAGAATGTCTCAGAGTTAAGCTTTTTATCAAAGAACTCCTAAGACAAGAATTCCCTGAGTTATTACTTCAAATTGGAACAGTATCCCGATCCTCTTCTTCTATGAACCAAAGAAGCATTTTTTGAAAATTGCTTTTTATCAGTTCAATACAAAAACAAGTGAAGTTACCTTTTCCAAACCAAGGATCCGGGCAAGCACTTGACTACCACTGAAAGCATCTGTTCCAGCACTTTCCAAATGAGAACTTGGACTAGGAAATGCTGTGGCAGATATAGAAGAAAGGACAGATTAGCTTTCTGAATGCACACACACGAATGGGCAGGCTCACCTAAGAATCCATAAATATTACTTGTTCCCTCAGATACCCCACAGCAAGAATGTGCTGAAATATATATCTTTCATGAAAGTTTCATACTGGCAAAATGACAGATTCCATCAGTTTTACTTTTTACATAAAATTGAGATGGTTTTGGTTTGCTTATGGTTTTTTCCCAGTCATTTTAGATGTTATTTGCTTTCCTTCCAGTTTATGTCATTAAACTTCATCACCAATATTATTGCCTAATAAATGGAATCATTTCTGTACAGGCTTAGAGAATTTGAGGTGCCTCCATTAGCTCCACAGATCCATCATATCCAACATCTGTTCAGAGGATCTGCCAATGCACATCTGGTGATAATGGTTTTCTTTTTAACTATTCATTTGGGAGGCTGATATCTGCTTAGGATCATAAATTCTCTCCTCTCCAAAGTAGTTTCTGAATGATATTTCAGATCAAATAAATGGGATGCAGCAATTAGCCTGGACTACAGTATACTCTAATTAAGTAATTCCCAAAGTTGTCTCATCTAGTACTATTTATAATGTGGCAGAGTGCTCTGGGAGAAACATTAGCTGGAAGAGTACATTCATATCTATAGCATGAATGTTCATTAAGTCATTACATTAACTTTTATAAATTTTGGAGAAAAGCACCTTATTATCCTCGTGGAAAAGTATCTTAATAGTCAGCTACGATAAATGTCATGAGTAGGGTCTAGGTTTATTACAGAAGAATTCACCAACTGATTTCTCAAGGCCAAGGTAATACATTTGTGAGATGTCCAGCTAGAGTGAGAAACATAATCTGTGACTACTGAGCAGAGCAAAGCTTACTGGACCACATCGCTGTGATAGTATTTCCACTCTGCTTTCACCTGTTCAGCCAAACACCCTCAGATCATTCACAACCAAATATTAACTCTTCAAAACTACTCACCACCCTATTCCTAGTACATTAACACAGGACTTTCTCATTGGCCCATAAACTTGTATTGCAATCATAGCATCTTATATATTTGATGACATTTTTCAAGGTACTCCTATTTTCAAGAGTATCAGTCGTATTCCAACACACAGCAACCTTTGTTTTGTTTACTAACATAGCCCTAGCACCTAGGATGGTATCTATGTGCTGACAGGTATAAATATCTGTCGGATGGTTTTAAACAGATCTGCTGTTTTGAAAGTGTATGCTCCACTTGTGATATCTCATGAGTGTTTCTCAAGTTCATGTGCATCAAAATCACTTGGGCTTAAGGGAGCTCAGCCTGAAGATTTTCTACACATTACCGTTTGAGGGCCACTGGCATAGCTGCAATAAAGGGAGGGCACAATCACCCCAAATGATTGATACAGAACATTGAGTGGATGGCAGAATAGTGTGTGTGGAAGAGTTCAGTCCAGCAGATATTTCAGCCTGCCTCTGGAAAGTGTAGGACCTCATATTCCTCATCTATAAAATAGAAAGTTTGGACAAATCTTTGAGATTCTGTCTAATAATTTTTATTAGTGGATTTTCTAACCATCCGAACATCATTTTATTACAGACAATGAAAGAGTCCTTTGTCAGTTTTGGGAGGGTATGAAATTCTCAACATCACTCTAATACCATCTAAACTTTTACTCCTAGATAGTATTTCAGTAAGAACTTAATTTCCAATTATTGTTGAGAACTTTGCATAATTGCATTGCCACACTCAGGCAACCATAAGGAACATTTAGATCTCTTAGGGATATTCTAGGCATTCCATCTTTGTTTGAAAAGTTAAAAGTATAACACTTTTAAAGATTAGACCTTCACCAGCTGTTCTGAGAGCCTGTTCTAAAATTCGACAGAAGAGAATAGCTTACCCGGTGATGCATGCCTTCTTTCTGGAACTTCAGTGCTCTGGAGTGGTAAATTGCTGGTCTTCTTCAGTTTGGATGGCTTCCTCAGAATTTCACTAGAGAAGAAAAAGAAAGAGCTCTATAACTTCACCCACATTAATTTCAGTTAGTTACAGCAAAGTATTACGTGGCAGATTCCAGAACTCTAAGAACTTTCCAATTTCTGATCTCATTTCCAGGATTTTAATGGAAGAACTCACATGGCCATACACCGATGAATAGGGAAGGTCTCTTACAGGTAAATTTTTATTCAGAGAAAATGACTTATATGGGCTTTAAACAGTGATTTTGATTTTATTCTTGTGGGAAGGAAATTATTCTAAGGAGACATGAAAGCTAAAGATTGAGCGTAATTATGTTATTATCTTCCTTTTAAAATGATGATTGATCCCAATAGATGAGGGCCCAAAGAGTGATTTGGAAACTGAAACAAAAGTCTGCTTATTTGTCAACATGGAAGGAAAAACAAGTTTTCTCTGTTAAAATATAGATGACAAATATTTACCAGACTAATTCAAGGAAGGAATAAGACAAAGACAAATATTTACCAGACTAATTCAAGGAAGGAATAAGAGAACACACATTTATTGAGCATTTATTATGTGCCAGGCACTGTTGATGTTGTTATAGGTAACATGGATGTTAAAAGAATAATGATATTTTTAATTGTACTGAATGCATCAATGTGGTAATAAGAGCACTGTAGTGCCAGGCATCCCTGCACAGCGTGATCAACCTGGTATTTGGAAGAAAACAGACCTTCTCACAATTTAGTAACATACTAAAACTCCCTTCCTGGTTGTTGTTTATTATGAAAATGGGTATAATCATGTTTTCTTGAAAACTTTATACCTAAAGTGACTGCCTGAAATAAGTGCATATTTCAGCAGTCCAATCAATCCAAATGCCTGAGTGTGAATTTCCTTCAAAATTCTTAAATTGTTGAATTTTGTAGAGTTGTTCATAAAAATGATTCCTTAAGGTATATAAGGATGACTGTTAAAAGATAATAATGTCAAAGCAAGCAAGAAATTCTGCTTACTACTGGGGTTCAATACACCTTCCTTTTAGATATAAGCTCTGAATCATGGTTTCGGGGTACTCTGTGATTTATAATTGGAAAGAAAAATCTGCACACTTTTTCCCACTGTGTCTTTTTAATAAAAATGGTAGGAGAGGTGATATTTATTTTCATTCCCTAGTGTTTTCCCAATATTCTCTATAAAATGTACTTGTGCTCCAAAAGTTCTGCATTCTTAATGTATATTTGAATTATTCATGATCATGACTGCATTCCCTAAATCTTTTTACATTCCTTATGCTGACTATTTGGATGGGAACGCTGTTCAGATAAAAATATGAACTGACCTGAACCTTTTCCCTCCTCTCAAACAGGAGTTTGAGAAAGTTTGAGAAAGTCGGGCTCACTTTTATTTTCTTGAGTTTTTTGTTTGTTGTTGTTCAACGTGAAATATTATCAGGAACACTACTGAATACCAACACATTCTAGAAATAAAGGGAGATACTGCTTTCTTAAAAATTTTAATGAATAGGGACAGCACTAGAAACCAAAGGGAGAGTCACAAAGGTCAAATGAGCAAAGGAGGAGCAAGAGAAAACAAAGAATAATAAATTGGAGAGGGGGAGAAAAAAAGACGGGAAGCTAGGAAAGTGTAAGCCTGGAGAAGCCAAAGCTGTGTGCACTCTGCAGAGGCTCGGGTTCCACATTCAGGTAAGAGACCTATAACAATCCCTTTAAATTTTCTTTATATACTAAAGAAAGACAAGCTCATGCATTTCCAGCCAGGTGGGGGGACTCAACAATTCTGAATTTGCTCAACACTAAAGTTCAGACAAGGAACTATGGAGGACTTACCCCTGACTAACAAATGCCATGATTACAATTCACATTAGGGGCATGACATTAAGTAAAGGCAATTAATTCTACCAATTTTCCCTATTAAATTGTTAAAGGAGGACAGGAAGTAGCCAGTTTTAGTAACAATGCTCTGTGAACTTTATAATTAGCATGATCATATAGACAGTGTTATAGACAAAACATTGCATGTGCCTTAGGGTGATGGATCAGAAATGGCACCTTTTCTATTGGCGAGCTCTGAGTACATTTTTAGTTTGCACCCAATTTAAGCGTGTTATGCTTGTGTCCCCTTTCCTACCACCTCTCCACCTCAGACTGTGATATCTTTGAAGCAGCACCTCGTTTTATTTATCTTTTTATTTCAAACACCTCACACAGACCTGGACTATATTATGTAGTGGATGATTAAATAAAAAGTGACAGTATTTCTGGGGTATGGCAGAAAAGCTTCAGAGTTAGAAAATAATATTGGAATCCCACTTTGCCTCTTTCTAAAAGATCTTCATCACTGTGTCCTTCCTTTTTGAATTATAAATGATACAACTACTTTGCAAGATTGTTGTACTTCAGATTCGATTATCAAGTGCCTTCCTAGGCCCTGTCATCATAGGCAGTGGCCCTAATAACTCTGTCAAAGTGTCCACAAAAGACGATGATACATAGACACTGCTTTCACTGTCTGGCTGGAGCTAAAGTCCCATAACTGTGCATCTCTACTCCAGATAGAACCCTTCAGGATCTATGGACAACAAGGAGAAGTAAGTCGCAGATCTGGAAAATGTACATGCTAGCTAGTGAGGTGGGCCAGGTAACCTCTTCATTTCATTATTTAGTTTATTTCTCAATTTATTTATAAGAGGAAAAGTCCAGTAATGATCACCTTCCTGACTATAACATTCTTGAGAGAAGTGTACAGAGCATTGTATTGGGGGGATGTTTGGTAAGCATGAACACTAGATAACAAATAATATCACTTGGAAGAACTGATAACTAAGAAGGTATCTTTTTTAAAAAGTAACCCGACCTGCCCTCCTTTTTATATACTTGGTTCTGCAAAAGGCCATGGAAAAGGATGCCACTGAAGATTCAAGGGAATAATCTCACAATGTACCTACTATACATTAAGTTTACGTATAGGCAAGGTAATGGGCAAGCCAAATAAGATAACCAGGAGCTATAAAGCACGAAAGGGAAAAGCTGAGAAAGGACAAGCCCAGGAGATAATGAAACACTTGATGGCCTAGAAATCAAATTTCTGTGTTTATTATGGAGCAAGATCCTAGAATCATAACCTTAATTCATGTCTCTTGCTACGTTAAGCTTTCTCTTTCACCTTTCACTAATATGGTAACAACTTCACCTCCCCCCATGCTCCCAGAGGACATTTTCCAACATCAGGAGAAATATTTGGTTGTTTTAGCTGAAGGGGGGTGATGCTAGTAGTATCAAGTGAGCAGAGACCAGGGACACTGTTAGAAACCCTACAACACACAGTGCAGCATAGAATAATTGGGCCCCAAGGAATAATGCTGAGGCAGAGAAACCCTGACTGAGGTTATAATAGGTAAGTGGGCTTACTCCATAATGACTCATCTCCATTCTTACTGTGTAAGACCAACTCATGGACTCAAAGCCCCCTCTAGGAACTCTGAATAGTTCTAAAGGAGTCTCAGAGAACTGTATCTCATAGCAGGTATCTCTGGGAGATACATTAAAGTGTTATGTAAAACCTAAATGCCTCCTAAATCCAGAGAGAGGGTTCAACTTAATACAGAAAACTCAACCCTTTGGGGGAGACAAGAAAGCCTGAATCAAATCTCCATGTGGCCTCAAGGCAGCATTTAGCTACCATTTAGGGACTCACCCCCTTGACATGGTGATAGCCTAGGGTCTCTCCTGTAAGACGGAAAGGTGGATTCAGCCTCTGTGGCAATTACAGGGCTCTATTTTGGAGTGAAATTCAATAAGGGAAACATCCATTTAAAGTGTTCAATTTTACTGGGAGAGAAATTATTTTGCTTCTTCTCAGACACAGCTACCAGAAGTTACATTTGGGAAATGTCACATACCTAGATATCATCATAATGTAGAATTTATACATTTACACTGGCTGTCTTTGTGTTTCCTGTGAGTGGGAAAGACTGCTTGTGTAGGTGGTATTCATGTGTGCCAAAGTACTTTCTGTCTATAAAAGGCATCCCTAGCAGGCAAGACACATATGGCAAATCCTGGAAAGAAAATTCTGACTTTCTTCTTGTTTTTATCTATAAGAGTTAAACTTTTTCTATAACTCCCTTTTCTTTGGATTTATAATTCTATGGAGATGTAGTGACACCTGGAAAGAAGAGAAGTGCTTTAGATCCAACACTGATCCCAGCCCCAGATAATATTCATTATTGACTTTTGACTACAACAAAGATGCTGTGATCATATTCAGGTCCTTTGGTGGTTTTCTGTAGCTATTCATCCTGGCCACCCCCCAGAAAAAGTCATTCATAGGAAAACTTTAAGTTTTTCATAATTTTCTTGTGCTTCATTCTGACCTTCATTCCTTCAGCATTATCCATACTTCATATATAATCCCTATATGCCATATTAAAATACATCTCTCTTCTAGGTGGCTACTTACTAATCAAGAACCTGTATCTGTTAGGAGATATATATATATATAAGCCAAGACATTTCTAAAAGTTTTCTAAGTCACTATGATGGGCAGATGAAGAAATGTCTTGAAGGACTGATGTCTTGAAGGACTGAGGGAGATACATCATAGTATTTTTCAGATGACTCTGTACAGATAATAATCTACCAGGCCCTGAAACAGGAAGCTTAGTTGGACAACATTATCAGGAAATTTGTAATCGTCAATAGCAGAACTGTCTATGCCTCAAAACTAACTGTACAGGGTTTCCAGCTATTCCTCTCTGTTATTAAGTTTTAGGACTTTTCTGACATCTTCCATCCAAACAATGCCCTCCACACCAATAATAGATTCAACAGTGAGATCCATAGTCCTCAGGCAGAAAAAATGTCTTAAGATGCCTGTGAAACTAACCATTCCCTATGTGTTTGTCTAAGGTTATGGGCACAATGAGACCTAAAATACTCATCACCTTTACCAACTTGTATAGCAATTCACCTGCTTACTTATCTCCCATTCTCCCATGAGACTCTAAGTATGTACATGGTTTGGAAAGTGCCTTACTTACCTCTATATTTATGGTGATTTGCAAAATTTCCAGCATGTAGTACACATTCAATATATTCTTACCCAATGAGATAACAGCTGTGCCGATATAGCACAGCTTCCATTTTGTTTTTTGATAAATGAAATTTTAACCTTTCCTTCTATATGAACATTGACTAAAATGGTTATTCAGTGCTGATAAACTGCTCTCAACTTAATACAGTTTGACACTGTATTAAGTTTAATACAGTTTAGTACAGTTTGATCATTTCTATAGTCAAATAAGGACCTATATTGTTTGACTTCAACTCACCTTCCATTCCCAGTAAAATCTTTGGGCCAGTTTTTAATTCATTCTTATTTTTCAATAGTAACAAAAGCCTTGACACTTTCAAATTACCCCTGAATAAAATGTGATTAGCTATGTTTCAAGTTTTGTAAGAACCACTCAGTAGTAGCAGCTGTCTGGGTTGGAAAACAGAGAGTGGGAGCAAATCCACAGAGGCAATTCCCTCACAGGATCTGCAGGAATGCAGAATCACGCCCTCAAATAATGATCTTGTGAGTTGTGGGAGCTGATCTTTGCCATTCACCGGCTGTGTGAGCAATGGCAGAGCTGGGGCCCCCACTGTTCTGGTGTGTCTCAGAGGCAGTGCAGGGAAGGAGGACTGCAAGGCTAAGTCCTGTGAGGCTGGATCATCCGTTGTGCAAATGAGCAAGAAAACCATAAACGTAATCGATTTTTTTAGACAGTTAGAGTTGATTTTCCCAGCACCTCATCCTGAAGCTAATGCCCAGAGAAGTATGAATTTAATAACAGAAGGTTGGTTCCAAGGCAAGGACACATCACAACCCATGGTGACAGCCAGCAAGCAGGGACTGCAGAGTAATCATGATTTTCAGAAGAACATTCTATTAAAGTAAACATGGTGGACTTCTGTGTTGGCATCCCCTCACCCCTTACTGACAAAACAAAAACAAGACTGTTTCTTAATGAGGTCGTGTTGGTGAATCTTCCATCACCAAAGGGAAACAATTCAGTGGGATGGCTTACACAGAAAGTGTGCCAGATTTCATCACACAGCTATATGAAGCATTCCAGTTAAAAGCATGGAGGGAAATGTCATTAATGCAATTTTATTATTGTGTATAATTTTCTAAATTAAGCTCCAATTACTTGGCAGTTTAGAGAAAACACTGAATATAGAGCAATATACAGCTTGAGATACACAAAGGACCTAGCGGTTAGAATAAAATGAAGAAAAGCAGACATGGTCCCCTGTCTAGAGGAAAAGCAGCAGAGTTAAAAATAAACAGAACTAACTCAATGACTGATCTCAGGCAACTGCATGAGTTTGATTCTTTACCACATTACATGGAAAGATATTCCTTTGGGTGGAAGTATATTTATGTACTTTGTTGTTGCTAACCATCTCAGTTTTCAGTTCTTCATGAAAAAAACTACAATTAGCTACAGATGAAGTTGTAATTCAATGCACAAATAATGACTATTCATTTTTTCTCATATCCTCTCCTAGTTCATGAAATATCTATGTCAATTTAACCTCTTCTTACAGACTTACCTGGTTACTTAAATTGAAAGCTCTCTTTCTACGTTAAATATGGAGACTGTCTTGCCTTAACATCCTTCTGATACCCTTCATTGCACTGTCTCTTCTCATCATTACTGATTTAATATTTTCCCTTCCTGCTAGGACAAAGGCATAGATCACACCTCATTCATCACTCATATAGGGGCACAAAGACCACCTGTGAACAGGTTGAGTGTCCAGAAACGGCATGCTTCCACTGTACCTCTGCACTGACCACAAAGGAGGGGGTAGGCTTTAGGAAGCTTTGAGCCTCCTTCAAGAAGTACAACTAGTGTTAGTTGGGGTAATGCTTGCATGTGCCTGCACAAGTCAGTCTCGTAAACAGTATGTCAAGCTCTTTTCCTGCCTAAAATTTTCCAATGGCTTCTCATTATACTAAATATAAAACTCATTATACTAAAAATACAAATCCATTCCCTTTCTACATGTTCAACTTCGTGTGGTCTCTCTCCTGTGTTCCTCTTTGATATATCCACTTCCACTCTCATCATTGCTCATATATTTTAGCCTCATTACCTGACTTTCTGTTCTTCTAATAGTCAGGTTTGCCCCCACCTGAGAATCACTGGCTATTTCCTTGCCTACAGCATTCTCTTCCAAATAGACACATCCTGGTACTAGTTTCTCTCTGTCCTTGTTGGTTCTACCTAAATGTCACCTTTTAGCAGAGGTCTTCTCTCCTACCCTACTAAATTCAGCTTCTCAGTTTCTACCCTTGCTGATTTTATTTTTTGCTAACACGCTTATATATTATTCATTCTGTTACTTACTTATGTGGTTGCTCATTTTTCATTTACTCTTCCACTATAATGCAAGTAATACAAAGGTACAAATTTTGTCTGTTTCAGCTGTGAACCACCATGCCTAGAATGGGGCCTGGCACATGGAAATTTCTCATTCATTATTTCTTGAATAAATTAACAATTAAATGAACAAACAGCAGAATGTTTTAGGAATCAAGCCTAAATAACTTATTAAAGCACCAAAATCAATGTGAATTATCAACACAGTATGTTAGACCTACATCATATCCCATGACAATTCTTGACATTTTATATTTTATGCTAAAGCACTTGCTTAAAGTCTCACCAATGTCACTTATTAGCCAAAATTATAATAATGATATTAAAGGAGATTTAAGGTAATGTTGTGGAACCAAATATATCTGATTATAGTTGATTCAGGTTATCGTGTGGTTTCAGTTCCTCAGACAAGTGGGCTGCTGGGGTATCTCTAGCATTAGAATCCCAGGAAGAAAATGAAAGCTGTAAATGGTTAGGTTGTAATGATCTGGATTCTCTATCTTTACTCTTTAGCTGCTTCTCATACCATAAAATAGGACACATATTAACCTCACTTAAAGGTTGTTCAACTAAGTATACTTTCAACTTAAATTACTTTGATTTCTAGGCTCTTAATTTCCTTATTTGCATTTTCTGGTTATTTGTTCTATCTGGAAATCCTATATAGTGTAATATAAACACGACATTCTTGAAAGTGGTAATATGTCCCTATAACATGTCCCTAATGTGTCCCTATATCTTGTGCCTGTGACTGAGTCTCTGGGCAATGTGTCACTAATAATTTGAGTTGGGATAATCTCAAATCTCTAACCACTCAGCTGAGAAAGCAAAACTTGGATAACTTACCCAAGGAGCATTATGCTTATTCCCACAAAAAATTGATATTCTAGTTTATATCTACTTGTTCATTCATATTTAGATCATCACCCAAGTACACATGTAAAACTAAGTTGTATAACTAGCCTAGGATGGCTTCCTGCATACCTCATCAGGAAACAAGATCTGATCTCTCAAAACAACTGAGCCCACTTCGAAGTGCTCCTACCTGTCTTTAAAGAGTGCGTCATCAATCCCTTTCCTGCGAAGCAGATCTTGTGGCCCGTAGGGTGTGTCTTTGCATTTAGAGTCTGTGTCACAGAGTAGGGTTTGCAGGAATGGGAAGAAGCCAGTACTGGGAAGGTTTCTGGGTGCAAGGTAACCTAAAATTGAAAAACAAAACACACAATAATTATATCAATGTGATGTTTACCTGGGAAGGAAGATAAATGCAGTAACTCTCTTTTGTGAAATTGCTTTCTGGATTATGTCTGAGTCTCCTATGTATCAAGAACCTTAAAAATACCTGTTGCCCTCACAAATTTCTGTTCCGGGGAATTATTCTAGGGAAATAGCTTTAGGAATTTCTGCTAGAGTATTTTAAAAATAAATTATATGTAGTCATAGGATAAAATACTATACAGTCAATAAAGGTGTTCTAAAATAATAGAAAATGTTTATAAAATATAGTTAATTTAAAAGATTAGATCAGAAAGTCATAAAACCACAACAACTATAACCCTTTAAAAATATGTAAGTATAAAAAAATGCCCAAAAGTAGATGACTGGATTAAAAAGATGTGGTACATATATACAATGGAATATTATTCGGCACCCAAAAAGGGAAACACATGTCTTTTGCAGCAACTTGGATGGAGCTGGAAAAGATCATGCTTAGCAAGATAAGTCAGAAAGAGAAAGAAAAATACCAGATGGCTTCACTCATAGCAGGAGTATAATGGACCAGGCAAGAAAATAACAAGAATAATGAACGGCCATATACCAGAGACATTTTGTGGGGGTGGAGTGGGGAATGGGATCAAAAACGGGGGTAAGGGGGTTGGGAGGGAAATGCACGGGATTATGGTGATGGCACACAGGTGACTTGGTGATGGGAAACCTGTGGGGATTACAATTGAGTTGGAAAAAAGTGTACAAAATGATGTAAAAATAAACTGTTATAAATTTAAAAAAAAAAAGAATATTTCCACTGCGAAAAAAAAAATATGTAAGTATATGTATATTGTAAAATCTGTGAGTTTTTTTCCTGGATGGTATATTTCACACAATTTTTCTTTATTTTTATTTAATTATATAACTGTTCCCCCCACACCCCGCAATGCACATATCTTCCATTGTAGTCAAAATAATTATAAATGTTGAAACCTTCTGATACAATGAAATAGTTTTGATTATTTCAAAATTTAACATAATAACTAAACTAATCATCTTAAGCACACATTTTTTCCTATTTAAAAACCAGTAATAATGGTGTATAGTATGCAGCTTTCCTGAAACATTAAAGTGACATAAAACAAAACAATAACAGTGGAGCATTTGTTAACCTTAACTTGAAATTTTGCTTTATAAAATATGATGTTGGCACATACAGGACTCAAAACAATAGGCAAGTATGAGGTATGAATTATTTTTTTACATTTAGCCTTGTTATTAAAACATTAAATTCCTCCCTATGAGGGAAGAGGGACACAAAGAACTTTCCAGAACATCATATTATGAAGTCATAAGGGTAATTCCAAGATGAAAACTAAAAAGCAACACCTTAATTTCCTCATGAATCTGTAACATAGAGTGTCAATATAGGTCTGTTATCATCATAAAAGGTACAGGGCAAGGTAAAAAAAAATAGTAAAAAAAAATATGGTTAAGTATGCATTAATAAAATAACAGAATAATAGAAATTTGATCTAAGTAATTTAAATACATATCATAAAAATATAGGATATAAAAGGGACGGGTTAAGAGGAACATTGGCTAGAAGACAAGAAAACCAAAATAAGCTGAAAAGTTGGAAGATGCTATACTGTTGACTTGGAATATGAAGAAAAGAGTTAAAAGTGAAAGAAAGAATAGAGGAAAAGACAGAGAATTAGATTTCCTAACATGCCCAGAAGGAATGAAACCTCGTCAACACCTTCACTTGAGACCCACTAAGTCAAATTTTGGACATCTACCCTCCAGAACTGTAAAATGTTAAGTTCACTTGTTTATGAGCCCCTGTTTAAGGCAAGTTGTTACAAAATTCATGCAAAGCTATTATATAGGAATTAAAGTTTTGGGAATTCAGAAGACATTGGAAAAACCTTATATCCAATAGTTATTCACTACTACCTTCTGAGCGGTTCCTCTTTCTGAATCAGAAAGCAACAACTCTCCTAGTTTTAAGCAGGTAAAAAGTGCATAGAACACTCAATGTCCTATTGTGGTGCGATTCCCTGAATAAGCTAGAGAGTAGCAGTCAATGGCTTGTTAACTTTTCATGCCATCTCTCTTTAAGTGAATTTCTCCACAGTGAGCTGTATGCAAGACCTTTGCAATTCTGTAGCAGAATTTCACCATTCATGGCAATCCACCCTGTGACATACGTTCTGACTACAGCTGCTCACTCAGCATGTAGGTCTGCAAATGGGCTCATTTCCACTTAACCCCAAACACATGCAATGGGTCATCCACATGGAGAGTAGGCAAAAAGGCAGCAGAAATAGAAGCCCCCATCTGCTCTAGTCTAAAAACAAGGTGATGGTGTGATGGACCAAGGCTGTGCTGAAAAGAAGGGAAGTATCACAATCGGAAGTGAAGAAAAAAATAGTTAAAGATGCTAGGGCAACAAGGTCTGGGAAGAGGGGGCAATTGCACCCTGTTTTACCTCTTCTGGCACTGATTACTATTTGTTAGTTATTAAGAGGAATTTGGAAGAATTCCCATCCACGACATCACATCATCTGATCTAAATGACTACAGAGAGGCTTACTTTAAAAGAAAATTCATTATAGGATTTCTTTGAAAACAAGTTCCCATTTACCCTTATACATTATTGGTGGGAGTATAAATTGGCACACTTATCATGAAAAACAGTATGGAGATTACTCAAAAAATTAAAAAGAGAAGTTCTGTATGACTCAGTCATTCCACTTCTGAGTATTTGGCCTGAAAATACAAAAACAATAATTTGGAGAGATACAGGCACCCTCCATATTTATTGCAGAATTATTTGCAATAGCCAACTGGAAACAATCTAATTGCCTATTGACAGACAAATGGATAAAGAAGATGGGTATATACACACACACCTGTTTTTTTTTTTTTTTTAAAGCCTGCTATTTGCAGTAACATGGATGGGGATCTAGAAGGTATAATGCTTAGTGAAATAAATCACATAGAGAAAGACAAACACCCTGTGATTTCATGTGAACAACAGAGAGAAAAAAAAAACTTACAGGTGAATAAAACAGAACAAAAATAAACTTTTGGACTATAAGAACAACTATTGGTTACCAGAAGGGAAGGGGCAAGAGGGGTGGGAAAATTAGGGCAAGGGATAACTTTAAGGTGAAGGCCAGAGTTGGATTTGTAGTGGTAAACCTAATGTAGCAGGGATGCATGTTGATTTTACTGGTACACACCTAAACTTATATATGTTCTGCGCAATGTTACTTCAACTTTAAAAAGTTCCTATGGTGTTCAAAGCACAAACAATCCATGCTGTGAACAGTTTGTTTTTTTTTTTAATTTTGATGACTAATACTTTATCAGTTACCATGGGTTCATACAATCAAGGAATTGCTCTAGATGTGCACCAGTTTCACTTAATACAGTTCCATAAACCAAGAACTGTGGACTCTTTCAAATAAGAGAGAATGCTGTAACACAATAAAATATATTCAGTAAACACTTGCTGTGTGCTACACTATGCGAGGCATGCAATATACATTTCCATCTTTCAATCATTTTATTTTTCCTGATATACTTTGTCATCCACATCAAATACATACAGATTTTATAAAACCTGTAAATTCTCTAGCATGAGTCAGAACTAAATAGAATGAAATTTTATTGTAGCTGTTTGGTGAAAAAAAAGTGGATTTTTCAATCTTCTGCCCATTTTGGTTTTGAGTGCAAGGATGTAATCCTCAGAACAGTGGGAAATCAAACTATTACACAATTTAAAGAGTTGCTAATTCTAAATCAAATTCATTGTATTCTGAAGGTGTTCCCAGCACATTCAATTTCCAGTCACTTTGCTCTCTTTAACCCAAATGCTAGGTTGTAGGAAAAGAGAAACTTTTTTCTAACTTTCATGCAACTTTTATTCAGGAAGCATGGAGCTTACACAGTTAAGGCTAATAACTGGTTAACCATATTCAGAATCAATCACAGATTCAAGGATACAAGTAGAGGAAGATTTGAACTGTGCACCCTCATCACCACTAACAGATACAAAAGAAACAGATCTCAGGTCTGGGATGGAGTATTTAGGCAGAATAACATCTTTAGTAACAGATTTCTCAACATTTCACCTGCACCACAACATTCATCTTCTCCAGGAGAAAAGCTACTGAAGAACTTGACAATTTCACTGAAAATTGGGAATGAGAATGGGGTGGGTGGCAGGCACCTATGGGTAAGTTTCCTCAGGGGTTCCAGGTGGAGGTCATGAGGTTACCTTAGCAGTCACCCATAGGTGGCCAGAGGTGATGCTCAGATACAGGTGCAGCTGACATGACTGACAGTCCACTAACAACCATGACAAGTAAGGTTATTTCAGGGAGTTGAACCAAACCAAATTATCAATAGAAAACACTTTTAGGAAAAAACACCAGGTAGCTAGCTTTTAAATAAATCATATTCTTTTCTGTTGTTTTCAAAATGAAGCTGGCATTCCAAAAAGATTCAGTTTAAGAAATAAAAATGTACTTTGTAAACAACTGTGCTATCGACCTATACCTCTCTGTTTACCGGAAGTAGGATTGAGTTTGATTGTCCTTCCACTTTTTACAGAGACATGCCTATTCAGAACTTTAGCGAGGCCTAACACAAGGATTAGAGCAGGAATCCCTGGGCCAACAATATCAGCATGACCTGGGAACTTTACAGAAACGGTAACTTCACATTCCAGCCCATCTCTGCATAATCATCAACTCAAGGATGGGCTTCAGGATTGTTCATTTTAACAAGTCTTGTATGTTATTCTGATACATGCTAAAATTTGTAAAAAAACAAACAAACAAAAAAAAAAAAAACAAAAAAAAACCAGAATTGGACTACAAGTCTTCTCTTAAATGACAGGTAGCGCCATCCTGTCTCCATTGGATGGAGGCAGCCAGAGATGTACATCACATACCTCAGTGAGCTTGGGTGGTAT